GAAAGGAAAGGAAAGGAAAGGAAAGGAAAGGAAAGGAAAGGAAAGGAAAGGAAAGGAAAGGAAAGGAAAGGAAAGGAAAGGAAAGGAAAGGAAAGACCTTATGGGACTCGTTTCTAGGAGATGATAGGCACTCTAGTTTGTGCTAAGGGCCATAGGGATACAAACATACATCCTAGCCAACGCCAGTGATTCTATTTTCACAGATAGGGGAGAGCCTCAGAGCTTTGATTCCTGACAGAACTACAGGATAATCTACTGAATGACATTGCTAGGGTTAAATATTTGCTGAAAATACTCCTTTTCTCTCCATTAATGTCTGGCTGAAATGGATGATTTATGATGACTACTTGTGGATACATGCAGAGGGGAAAGAAATAGTTATTCCCAGGGATGACCGTGTTTTCTCATCTACTGCTCTAAAAGCAGATAAAATGGATATTGATCTTGTGTTCCAGTTCTCTAGGCTAACCTGTCATTTTATACTGATTTTCCTCATGCGTCTTTTTTTTTGTTTATCCCTTTGGCCTTAAGACTCATACCTTTTGCTCCACAAGCCACATTCATTTTGATAAGATAATCATTTTAGATATACACTGTTAGAAAAATCAGTATTTCTTTAGGTGAGTGCCTGCTTCAGCTTTCTCATCCCCAGTGTAAATGGGAGGCTGTTTTCTGCTGAAGTCAATGCTTTCAGGCTGAAGATGRGCTCTTTCAGTGCTTTCCTGCTCATGAGCTCCACTGAGAGATTTGTGTCTGGGAAAAATCAGACACACCAATGTAGAATGGATTMGTTCAGTCGAAGTAAACTTGAAAACTGGTTTTCTTGAAGTGCTGTGTTTTCTTAGCGCCTTATATTAACATTTGGTGGCTTTATTTTGCGCTATCAGACAAGCTACTGAGATATGTTCAAATATTCTTTCTTCTGCATGAGTATTTCAAAAAAAATAGAAGGAAATTCATCTGACTTTGGTCTCTCTGGTAATTCCCATGAGAATATTCAGATGGTCTTTAGTGGTTTCTGATCGTCTGATGTACCCAGCTGAATATGCCCATCGCAATGTCTAGCGTAGCTGAGATCATGCCAGGCAACCGAGGCACAAAATTCAGGGTTTGAGGATGGTTGTCGTTTTATCACTAGCTTTTGCTTCCAGAAATGCCATCAGATCTCAATCGAGATTAAATTGCATATTGTAACATCCCTGAGAAAGAGAGAATCTTTAATTGGAAAAACCTGCTGTTAAATAGAGGAGCTGGAAAAAGATATGGAAATGAAGGGAAGCCAGAGGCGCAATTAAGGGTAGCGATATGTCTCAACATTTTTATTAGATGCTAACACCAAAAAGAGTGATTTGGAGGAATTTCGTATTTGTTCTGAGCTATTAATTTGTCTGAAGAAGGATGAAGTTAGAAAATCTCAGGAAGCAGAAGAAAGATAGAACCCAAAAACTGCACAACAAAATGCTGAATGATTTCTTATTTCCCTCATAAGGAACATTTATTTCAGTTTACTATAACGTAGATGATAATTCAGATGGTTACAACCAAAGGTCAGCTCACACGCTTGATGCTTCTCTGGATTTGAGCCACATGTTTTGATCTTTATCTCATATAAAGCAAATACGGCGTAAAGATACAGAGAGGAACTAAGATACTAAGGTAAAGTCAGGAGTCTGAACAGGTGAGATACCCATTAAAATAAACTATGTGCTTCACAGACCTGCTGATGCTGTTGATGCCAGAAGTGATCTATTCTGAAATCCTTATTTTTAAAGATATAAGGAGTTTTTCCTCAAAATTTGTGGAGTTTGCCACATGGGATATGAGTTTTCACCTCTTTATCGAAGGTAAAATAAAGTTGTTCATGGACTATATAGAAAGAATGTAGCCAGGGACCTGAGATTTTAGTTAGAAACTGATAACTGTGATTGATGCCTGGCAAGAAAATATAAACAAAATATTTGGGGTTTGCTCCTTCCGTACTTTTCATTTTACTCTTTTCTAATTTTTTAAAATTTCCTTCTCTTCTTTTGTTTTAAAGTTTGATTTCAAACTAGAAACCATTTAAAATTATAAAAAAATCTTCTCCACACCAAGTATTTGATAAATTTGTTCCCCYTTTCTTTTCAAAACTGATTTCAAGTGCTGATGAACTAACATTTTTCAGGAAAGAAAAACAGCTAAGAAGTTCTCTGAAATATCACTGGAGAATTCTCACTGATTGATGCGTCTGTTGATATGAGGAAAAATTAGCAGTTTGGGAAATATTGCTGGCGTTTCCTCTTTCTGAGAATTTGTTCCTGCTAGTGGAAAACAAAGAAAAGAAGTTCCAGCTAATTCAGCCTGGTGTGTGCAGGGCAGGTGTTTGGTGCAAAGTGTTTGCCAGTAAGGAACAGATTTGCAAAGGGAATGGGACTTGAGAAGAACCCATGGGAAATGAGCGGAAGAATCAAGGGAGCTTGCATATTCCTTAGGTAGCCAAAAAAAGGGATTTRTTTCCAAAACACCTGTGACCTGTAGTTACCCGAGGATTTGAAAATTCAGCTATTATTCTTAGTAGGAGCTTCTCTTTCTCAACAGATTTCATATTCACTCTATTTCATTTTTAGAAACCTTAATGAGCACTTAGCACTTCTGAAGTTCTGGCCTTAGTCAAATATACCGTAGCCAAGATTGAAAGTTATATGAACTYTCAGAGAATCAACCATCAGGTTAACCTTTGGTCACTACAAGTATGTAAAACATCTCCGATTTATTCCCCAAAACCAAGCCAGCTTTCACCCGAGCTGAACAGTGAGTACAACACCGACATAACTGGGAATTTCACATATTCACCAGCTTAAAACTATTGCTGGCACTGGGGTCTTCATATGATTTGTGCTTGACAGTTCTTAAAGACCAGAATCCATCATTCAAACCTAGTGGAAAACATATCCAAAACCCAGAAATTTTAAAAACAAAAAACATCATCCTTAAAGAATTTGCTCTGTGTAGTGATTGGAGTCTGCCTAACTCTGTTTTCCCCAAAAGACTRCGAAGAAGGATTAAATTTAATTGAGCTAAACCAGAAGTGATTAATTGCTAAATGAGTGTATTGGGCAGCAGGATGAATGTATTAGGCAGCAAGGAAGCAAATTACTTTTGTTTGGAGAGAAAGAAGAGTTATTACCTTTTGCTTTTACCTGCTTGGAGGTGTGATGCCCGAGGCGAAATTGCAGTGCAGCTGGCCAGTGAAACAGGTTACATCCTCAAAACACCAAAATCTATGTGATTGCATCTTCCTTGCTTGCACTGTTGTGTTAGGACAAGTATCTGTCCTGGGAATGGCTCCAGCCAGGCTGTAGCAAGCTGGTCGTAAACAGGTAGAAGGATTCCTTTGCCTGAAAAAAAAACGCATTTTAGTAATTYGACAGCCCAAATTGCACCTGAAGTAGTTGAAGATGTTTATTGGTAGAGAATGAAGAACGAGGAAAAGTAGAATCTCATTTAAGCGTTTTCATTCTGGTTCAAAATAACATAGCCAGAGCTGTTATTTTTTTCACAGCAGGTACCGTTGCATGCTCCACCTTCAGTGTCTCTGTTCTTCCATCAAAGGAGTTATCTTCCTGCACGATGGTTAATCTATTACCCCACATCCATCCCTATGACTTGAAGACGGTTGCATGGCTAATGTCATTCCTGCTGTCAATACCAAACTGCAAATCTGTGTGGAGACGGCAGAAGTCCTGACTCACTGATCTCTTAGTTTTGCTCTCCATCTCAGGATGTGACTCACTGGCCTCATCCTTGATTCTGCTCCAGAATTTTGCCTCTCTCTAAACAATCCCAGTCTTGAAGAGTCAGGACCCTGGAGAATCTCTATGATGTCAGGAGGACTTTGAGCCACTGTTCTGAAGTGTGGGTTTCTGGCAGGGGATGAAAAGAGCACTAATGCAAAATTGCCTCTGTGTCAAAGCCAAGATTTATTGAGGGCTTTGGCTCTTTTTTGGGACATGCTGCTGGGACAATTGCCATTAGCAATTACCTGGGAATAGGGTGACTTTCTGAGAGATGTAGCATTGAGTGAATGTCCTGAGAGGAGCTAGAAGTGGGTCTATGTTGGGCTGAACTGCATGTCCCCAAAAAGGCCAAGCTACAGGGAAAGAAGGCAACTTAGAGGAGATTCTTAGTTCTGAGCAATACTCAAAGGATGGCCCTAAGATCATCCGAGAGTGGAGAGTTAGGCTGGAGCCACAGCTCATCTGCCCGTCCTTGTTCACTTATACACCCCCCTGGCACAGCTGTGGAAGAATTAAGTTGTCTTTGATTGAATAATTTGACTCTGCTGGAGGCAGAGCCCATCCATCATGAAGTGGATGAAGCAGGAAGCAACTGTGTTGGTGGCCACTTGGTGCAGGGTTGCAGAGGAGAGGAACATCTGGTGTGACTGTGCTCTGCTTTTGAATATACAGTAAGTTTAAAGCACAGTATGAGGTATCTTGATGCTTCTTGGGGAAAAAAAAGTTTAAAGATTTACCCAAAGACTTTTGCGGAACTGTTTTTATTTTACAAAAACTTATCACACTTAACAAACACTTGAAGACATAATTGGAAGACCAACCGGCTCTTCACYGCATAGTAAAAATCACAGCATGGGAAATGTTCATAGCAATAAGAAATACCTGACACGGTTGAGAGAGACTTYGCTGCTAGCTCTATCACAAATCTCATTCAATGCTATGTACCTCAGACCATGAGAAATGACTCAAGAAAGGAGGGAATTTGTTTAATAGACCTCTGGYCTGGATAAATTTGTTGTGTCTGCAGTTGTGATTATATGTTAATGATTTGATTTCACATTACTTATAATTTCAGCAGCATAGTGGCCCTAATTACATGTTACCCAAAGTAAAATTCCCATTGGTTTCTATATTTCTGCTAGTGTTTTTTTATCATTCCTATCTCCCAAAGTAGGTAATTTTATATTCACAGTGGCAATTTTATATTCAGACACTACGAAGTCAGGAAAGTTATATTTGTTCTGCTTTTCAAATGGAGAAAATGTTCAAGCCTGTGGTAGTAAGGCTTTTAAATGTGCTCTTTTCTTTAAAACAAAGAATCCACAAACGCCATAGCTGGAAAATATCTATTCATAACACTTTGCCAAAGAAATGCTGCTGCTGGCGGCATGCTCTTGGTATTTAGTCTTCTTTCTTAATTAATCAGAGTTCTTATCTTTCCTGTTCTTTACCTTGTCTAATAAACAATCCCGAAGACATCCATTTTTATTTCTAGGAATAAGTGTGTTGCCTTATTGAAACCATGTGTTGGTCTGGGCTTGCCCTCTGTCCTCTCCAGTGTAAGACACCACACTGATTCATTCTCAGAGTGCTATCTTTGAAAATTTGGGCTCTTTTTATTAACCATAACTCTGCTTTTTCCTCTTTTTTCCCCCTTTCTCCTTCCCCTTCTAGCTATCTTTAGCAGCTATGGGCAATGAAACAAAGGAATAAATCGAAAATATGTTAGAAAGAAGATTGTCTCCTTATGGAAGATGGTTAATATCCATTTGAAAACTGGGAATGAGGTGTTATCCTGTCCAGTTTTTACCCATACACCGTTACTCCTACGCCTAAGAGGTCTCTGCTCCATGGTAGAGCTCAAGTCCTGGGAACAGCGTCGCAGCAGAGCACAGTTGGTCAACCTCACCCCCGACACAAAGRAATAAGGTTTCCTCTGTGAACCACAGCAGAAGGGAATCTCAATCTCCACCATAAGTCAATTGGAGACTCAGGTCCCCAGCCAGMCCACTCTGTCAGGTAAAATAATTACAAGGAAATGAGGAAATCAGTCAGAGACCCTCCTATTCTTGGCTAGGGCAGATGTTTGCTTCATGAACAGTGCAGGCTGGATGTGAGGGCATCTCCAAGTGATCTGGATTTCTCTTGATATTAGTAAAACTTAGTTTCATCTCTCGATGGCTCAGTCTAATTGCAGCTGTAACTCACAAAGCGCAGCACAGAAATGGGGAGAGAGAAAACAAGAAAGTTTTCAGACCTCAGCAAGATTTCAGTAATGTCCAGGGCTGCTTTTGTGCTGGAGTAGTCTGGAACAGTGTGCTGGCATCTGAGATGCACAGAAATGTGTGTGTATTGCAGCACCACCTTCAATAACACCTCAGCTGGGATCAACACTGTGGAGGTGGCATTGGAAGCCTGCACCTGAACTGAGGAATTTGCACTGTAACCTTTTCTTATTCCCAGAAGAAGATAGGTTTGAGCAAGGCCTCATCGCCCACCAGCCTTTGGAAATGAGCCTCAACCACTGCTTTGAACTGCAGGACAGAGAACACGGAGGGATTTCCAAACCTAATGCTGATGACCACAGGCCTCTGAGCCCAGCGTCTTCTTTCCAGGCCACAATTCTCCAAAAAGACAGTGAGTACCTACCAGTAGGGCTATTTTAATAGCCAAGAACCCATAGGAATCCTACAGGAACTGCGGCAATCAGTTTGAGTGTCCTTGCATGGCTGCAAGGGTTGTGGATTGCTGAGAATCAGGCACGGGTGCACCCGTAGCTCAGTTCACAAAAATGTGCCAGATTAATAAACCTAATTATGACTGACATTGAGTAAGACGCAAGAACGACTAATCAGATGTCAACTTAGCTGATGCTGGCATTACTGAAAGCCTAAGGGCAGAGTCCAAGGATAAAAACATAACTTCTTATCTAAGTTAGGAGTCATTTGTGCACTACTAGTTACAGTGTGTTCTTAAAAAAAGGAAAGAAGGAAAAAATATATCTATAGCACGTGAAATTACTTTATGCCCCACAAATGATAAGAAAATAAAGCTAAAGGGACCTGCAACCAATCTTTGTAGGGGAAAAGCCCATCTACAGTAAACACGTTGCAAAGTCTACCTACTGTACCCAGGATGCGGACAAATCCTGGCAGCCTGCGTGAAACGCTGGGTTTGCATAGATGAAATCAAAATGAGTGTCTCTAAGATATTTCAAAACCCAATTTGGGCATATTTCTTGCTATTTGGAGTTTGCTAGGATACTCYGAGACCGCCCTACTCCTCGGTTCAGTGAGAGTTCAGGCAGTCTGGCAAGCCTCTCTTTTTGGCCAAGGCTCCTTTTCTGGCAACACATCTCTCTGTTTCTCGACTCTTCTTTCCTCCAGATTTGACAGGATGTTGAACTGGACCTCACAGAACAACTCATGGAAAGTAAGAATCTCTGACACACACCAACGTCACTGGAGAGGGAATGGTAAGGTCAAGGAAGGTGCCTGGAAGATGAAACCAGGACTAAACCAACCATTTCAAGCCATATTGCATTAGCAAAATGCATGACTGTGTTTTATTTGCCGTAAAACTCATGAGTCTTAACAAGGAAAGAACTTTCTGGGCGAAATGCAGAATATTTTAAAAACCCAGAGTCCTGTGGGAGAAACTGGAGTTGCAGTTCCATGAGATTGGTCTTTTCCAGTAAAACCTAGTATGGACCAACATGAAATGCAATACCAGATACCTGCTTGGCAGTCTGTCCTATCACTTCCAGCCTTTTCTGTTTCCCTCACTTGCCATCACGTGAAACCTTCCGCCCTAACAACCTACAGCTTGCTCAGTGGGAGCTGTTTAACACCATGGCTGGCCTGTGGCAGGAACGGAAAGACCTGGGTGCTATGAATAGTGGGTGGTAGATGATGGGGTGATGGTGGAAAGTGACATGAAGTCTCCTGGGCCAAATGTGAAGCTGACTGTGACAAGCCCTTATTTTCACAGAATCACAGAATGGGTAAGGTTGGAAGGGGTCTCTAGAGACCATCTAGTCTAACCTGCCTGCTCCAGCAGGGACACCCAGAGCATGCGGCACAGGGTGGCATCCAGGCAGRTTTGGAAGACCTCCAGAGAAGGAGACTCCACTGCCTCCCTGGGCAGCCTGTGCCAGGGCTCTGTCACCCTCACAGTAAAGAAGTTCCTCCTCACATGGAGATGGATCTTCCTATGTTTCAACTTACACRCATTACCCCTTGTCCTATCTGGGAAGCACAGTCGTCTGGTGTGTTGGCCACTCCACCCAATTTGGTATTGACCTCAAACTTGCTCAGGGTGCCTTCTATCCCCTTGTCCAAGTCATTGATGAACAAGTTCAACAGCACTGRGTCCAGTAGTGACCACTGCGGGATGCCACCGGCCTCCAACTAGACTTGGTCTCATTTATCACAACCCTCTGAGCCCTGCCATCCATTCTCCCCCTTGGAAACTCAAGGTGAGATTCAATGAGCATCGCTGCTCATCACTCTCTTGGCCATGCCACTGGTTCTGAGTACTGACCTACCTTGAACCTTCAGCCTGGCATGACACTGACTCATTTTCTTCTCCAGCTTCAAGAGACGTCATTCCATCTTTCTCCATGGGCTGGTAGCTGGTAGTGAGAAAGGCAGTATCGACCCGTCATGGGCATTATTTGACATGACCACTGCTGAAGAGCAGCCCATGTGTGTGAACGCCTCCCCGCAGCCCTTTTCAAAATGTTTGCACAGGCATGGCCATAAACCAGGCTGTATTGACCCAAAGATGCAATCCAAGTTGTTTGAGTCTAGGCCTTATCTACATCATATTATCAGGACTCAGAGCCCAGATGCACCCCGGGAAGGGAGGGGACTGTGTGGGAGAGAGAGGGAAAAGCTTCGTCCCTTCTCCTGTCGCGGGGAGGGGACTGTGGCCGGCGCTAGGTAATGATTTGTCATTTCAAGGGCTGAGGTGTCTCTCTTCACAGAGGAAACCTTGGCCGTGATTGACAGCGGCGCCGTTTTCGCCTCTTCCTTTGCTGTTGACAAGTAATAATGAAGCTTTGTCAGTCCATCATGGACATGGATATGCCTGACTATGTGGACTCCTTGGATTCCTCTTATACCATGCTGGAATTCGAAAACCTGCGGGTGCTTCCGAATAACACTGGTGAGATTTCTCTTCGCTTCCTCTTGAACAACCTCTACTATCCTTTCCAAAAACTGAGCACCTGGACAGGGCAGATAGAAGGTGTGGGGCTGAGGGTGGAAGGATAATATTTAAGTAGTTCTCCTGTCAACTACTGTTGAATCTGCAGTTATATTTGGGCTGAAATAAGGATTGTATTAAGGGTTGTAAGGGTCGTTAAGGGTTGTATTTTGAGTTATTTCTTCCCTTAACATGCTAAGTGTCACATCCTGAAGAGTCCACAAGGTATAGAAAACACTAGTGAAGCTACTGATGAAACACAATCAATTTGTCCCCCTGAATGACTTAGCATTTCTTCATGAAAAGTTGTGTTTGTTCCCCGCCATGATTGAGGTTCAAATTTAATTCTTGAAAAAGACACCATCTATATTTTTACAAGAGATTGTGCATCTGATTTTACTTAGTAGGTGTGTAGGATGAGAAGTAATATCCAAAAAACACTTGTATATGCTTGCTCCCACGATTGCCCAAAAGTCTTTAAAACACACGAAGAAATTTTCCATGAGATGTAACTTTTTATATTCCAGCACTTTCACTTTGTTCACAGAAATAAAACGTGTTGCACGGTTTGCTTAGGCAATTTGAATAGTGAAAAATAGTCTGACTTAAAGCAAGTACTATTCTGTGACACTGACTATTCAGTGCCTAAAACATGAAGGATATATTAGTCATAAAATATACAAATTATCATGTAACTGAATATGATGCCAATTTTAGCAATGCCTTTGGAGCATTTCGGCAAAATTTCATTTAATTTGTTAAGAAACAGTGAAATTAAGATCTTTCTATTGTCTTGCATTTGTTCATTAGTTGTTGCGTCAGAAGAAATTAGGATTTCAGAATGACTTTTGCCAACAGCACAAAATGATTAGATTTATTAATCTGGGACATGGAGAGTGTCAGTAGGCAAGTGAAATTAAAAGGCCGAAATAAATTTTATTTTAAAGCCAACTTCAAGAAAAGCTCTTTCTATCCCTAAGTAAAGGATTTCCAATTATTTTTGCTAGTGCCAGATAGACTGGATCTTATTTCTTATTATTTTTGCCGAAAGGTTTCCGTCTACCATCCTACTCCAGAAATGTTATTCAACACAGATGTTCTGCTTTGTTTCTGAACACAGGATATTTTTTTGATTTTTACTGCAGTACAATTTTTCTCAAAATTCGCTTTATTTTGGCAAATGAAACTACCTAAATCTGTTTGGGGCTCTTTGCGTTGTTTCGTTACGTGAGACTGACAGGTTCAGTTTTTCTGAAGTTTACCTAGATCAGTATTGGGTTATTTGCTTAGYTGTTAATGAGTAACATGTTCTCTCAGGAACTAGCTGTTTTGAAATTAGCTTGTTTGTCTTGGGTAAGTGTCCTCTTCTACAGTTTGTAAAAATAACTTCAAAAAAGAGCTGAAATGGCCATGCATGGAAATTTTCTACCCATCAACTGAGTCYAGTTCCTGCATACCCCCCAAAAGGGCAGTTGACACAAAAAGTCTGTAGTTCCAAAATATTTTAGAATTTGTTAAACTCAAGCAATAAGCTCAGTTGAGGTAATGTTCATGAAAAGTTTCCTACATTCTGAGTAACTTTGTGTGTGTGTGTGCATGAGAAAAATGGAATATTTTCAAATAAGGCATTTTAAAAAAAACCTAATTATTTCCTTCTTTGGGATATTTTTTTCATCAAAAATTCAGTTTCATTAATGGTGTGGAGCACTTCCGGTGTGAAGCATTCTCTTTCAGAAAGCTTCTATAATTATTCAATTATTATTTTGGATCCTCGACCTTTAAGTAGTTCATAATTTGCCAGACGTTTTGCGATTAATTCAAAAATAAAGAATAGAACCCATTATGGGAGTGGATGAGAATATAAAACATTAATCTGTTTCAAATAGAAAAAATGGTGAAAGAAAATGAATGAAAAACGAGGCTAATCCTGCCCCTCCTGTATGAAATACCTGTTGTAAATGCGGAAATATCCCTATTTAGTGCAAACTCGTTTCCTTTATCCTGGCCGCCACTGCAAAGCATATTCTCACTTTGTTTTCATGTGCTGTTAATAGTCTTTTCATAACACTCTCCTCAGAGTTGTCATAATTAGCTTGTATATATGTCAAATATAGAGATATAGGCCTATATTTTGTAACATAATTAGCTTATTATATTGCACTGATTCTCTGGCTGGGTGTCCGTGGACACCTTGGCCCCAGCTTGCAGTGCCAGCTCCGCTCCAGCCCTGCATTTGCATGCCCAGTTTTGCAACAGCGGTTTTGGGACTCTAGTTTGAGTGCGATGCGTGACCTAAATCCACATTTACATGCCCTTTGCATTCAGCCTGGCACGTGCAACTCGTTGCGTGGGATATTTCACTGGCAGCTGCAAAGCGCACGTGCCAAAGCCAGGACCAGCCTTGGGGTCTCTGGGTATGCAAATCTACAGCCAATTTAGAAAATATTGCAAGGTAGGTGTMCTATGGCAGAGCATGTTTAGGAGAGAGAGAAACTGTTGACTGTACAGTAGCCTGGAAAATAACGGAAAGGAAAAGCAGCAGAGAGGTTTTCGGGGAGCAATCCAAGCTCCTGCTCTTGAGATGCCATTTGCCAGCAGCATGAGACCATCCTCACTGTCCTTTCTTGGACCTGTAAAGCTTGACATTTTTATTTCAGCCCTGATTTGGTGATGATTTATATAGTGTAGGCAACATGCAGCAAAAATCGGTGTGTTTTGTGCCTGTGAGCTTGGTGTTCCCCCAAAAAGCTGCTGCAGCCTTTAGGCTAAGCCCGTCATTGCTAGGTAGGCTGTGCTCTTGGACTGAAACCCTGACTTTTCTGCCTCTGCATCCCACTGACAGCCCCAGTGAGAACTCTGGTCTTCATCTCAGTCTAGGACCTGTGTGAGGTCAAGATGAGTTGTGGTCTGGGCTTGTCGCTCAGCAGATCCATCCCACCAGGAGTTGTTCTGGAGCTGTTTCGCTGACCTGGATTAGGAGCTGCTTGGTTGAGCTGCTTGGCAATGAGTATAAACTGATATATCCGAGCATCTCTGAGCATCGTGGTGAGGACATCTAGGACTTCTTTTCATCTGTGCTGAGCCAGGTCCAGATCTGAGCAAACTGGGGACTTGTGTAGGTGGTCACCACTTCTCAGCTGATTTCTCAGGCAGGGAAGAGTTCTGGGAGCAAGTCTGGTTTTCCTCTACCTAAAGCATCCCAGGAAAAATCCAGGCATTCTCCAAACCCAGGGTAGGGTTGAAGGCCACGCCAAAACCTTCCTCCTGTGCACATGGCATTTGCTGTGTGTTTGCCCTCCTCTGTGCATTTGGAACTCCTCATTTGGCATTAAGCTGTGTTTATATTAAGTATTATTTATTAAAATGAACTGTTACAATGGTCTGCTSTAATGTATAGTTACCACTGAATTGTAGCCTGTGAATTTGTGTTTCTGTGGGTATGGGTGAGGGCAAAATTGAGCTCAATAACTTCCATGAGCCCTCACATGATTAGAGCTGATAGTCTTTCCCAAAGTAAAATGGGATTTAAGGCCAGATTAGGAATTTCTTCCTCCTCTTAGCAAACAGTTCCTCACATGTCCTACGGACATAAGGAGGAAAACAGCTTCTCTGATGAGTAAATGCTTTGCAGTCTCAGGGGATGTTTTGCAATCTGGACTCAGCTAAGGAATGAGGAGTCCTTCGGAGACCCAAATCGCATGATTTTGGCTCAACTCCTCTGAAGTCACCAGAGAAATCATGGGTGGAGTGGGGAGAGAAATTGGCTTTTTTATCTTCATTTCTGTTGTGCAGTTTTCTTTTAATGGAATCCAGCACACACTGCGCAGTTGTTTATGATCACATGCTCCTTCAGAAAACAATGACAAATGGATGGAGTAACTGATATGCAAATATTTAGCAATAAGTGCAGTTATTCTGGCAAGAGCTTATTTTGCACTGCATTAACAAGCACTATAAAACTAAGAAAAACTATGTAAATCACCATTAACCACCTCAGGCATAGACTAAGTTTCCTGCTGACAAAGGTCAAGTCTGGGAATATCTCGCATGGATTTGGGAAAGAGATAAATTTCTGTCATCATGTGCTAAGATGCAAACGCTGTCACTTTTCTTCTTGTGTTGCCTCCACCTCACTGCAGTCTACTTGTCTATTCATCCCTTTATTAGAAGGTGACATTTAGATGAAAACATGTTTGGGAACGAGGGGAGCAAAACTGGCTTTCATGTTTGTACAGCACGAGTTACAGTCGGTCCTGACCTTGTCCCTTAGGTGGTATAAAAAAAAAAGTGGTTAATATTAAATATAAAAACTGACAAGTTGCTGGAATGATTTAAAATGTACAGAAAATTTAAATTTTTGTTCATCTAAAAACAATTATGGAAAAAATCATTTTTATGCTTTTTTTTTTTTCTGACAGCACAAACATATAAACTCTTTTCAAAAGTTCGTTTAATGTTAAAGACCTCACTCCCTGTGAGTCTGGACAGTAAAAAACTGTCCAGGTTTTGAAAAGCTAAAGCTGTTTAAGCTTAAGCTTCTCTCTTTTTTTTTTTTTTGGCTCCCGATTGCAATTTTTATTGAATAGCAAATATTTTCACTATAAATTTTTGATGTGTATTCATACACAAAAATAGCATTCTCTCTCTTGCTCTGCATATGTACACGTTGTGTGGGGATGATCCAAAGCTATTTTTATGCATTATGCTGTAGAAAACTTTCCCCAGACCGGCCAGCTTCGTGCCCTTTCCTTCATGCCAAGTCCTCCCCRTTGAATAACTCTAAGTTTTTCTCCTTGCTCAATACAAAGGACCAGAGCTTTGCTCAGTCCAKTCTGGCTTTTCCCCATGGTAGGATGCTGTTTGTCCCTAAAATGTTGTCTAGGTCCCTGCAGCAGGAGATCATCTCCCCTGGAGTGGAAAGCCAAAGAGGGAAAGCTCCCAAAGGAACGATAATTCCATAAAAGTGGAGTGGCCGGGTCAGGACAGACCAGGCACACATTGCACCTCTCAGCACAGCCTAAACTGTGTCATCTGGGTCTTTTCAAGTGTCTCCTTTTTATTTTTATTTTTTATTTTTCTTATTTTCCAAGCTATGCCTCAAATTAGGAGGCTTAAGAGTCCAGTGGTTACGGGCTACCTTTAAAGGGCACTTTCAGCAGCCGGCCAGGACAGAGCTATTCCTGCCCCAAATGGGCCAGTGCAAACAGAGGCCATCACAGAGGGCTTTCATATGACCTAATTTTAGGTGCTTAATTTAGACGGAGGATCCTCCTGCACCCCTCCAAAGCCAGTAGCGAGCAATGGGGCGATTCAGAGGGCAAACGACCCACACTTGGGAGGACTGAGRTGACCTTTGTGAGAGCTGTTGAGCTGCGGAGATGCTCAGAGCCGCAGCCTGTTGTCACAGTCATCTTCGTCACGTGCATGAGTCAGGTCACCCTTCCTGTCGCCGCTCTCTCACAATAATYACTGGCGCTAATGTTGTCCTTTTTGTTGTCTTCTGAGGGCACGAACTTTGAGCCATGTTCTTCAGACTYGTGCACCTTAAAAGCACATATCTCGTCTCTGGACCTGGCTTCTCTGAAAAGTATGGAAAGTAGCATGAAAAGTAATTGCTCAGTTCTCATGAGTGTCTTGAGGTGGGATGAAATGTTCTCGTTCACTCAAACCACCATAGGAGAGCCAGGAACTCCCAGCTGTGGTTGAGAAGGGCACGATGGAGGCTTTGCATGCGGCAGATCCCATGTGCGTGGTTGCGTATGGACYGCGATCCCCTATAGAACCACTCTGGTTGATGGGGAGGTCTCAGGGTCTCTGTGCTCTGCTTGCAGAGACCATTGCAGCTGAGTCAACCAACAGCAACCTGCTCACCAACGGCATCAGCTCCCTCTGCTCCATATGTGGGGACCGGGCAACCGGCAAGCACTACGGCGCGTCCAGCTGTGACGGCTGCAAGGGCTTCTTCAGGAGGAGCGTCCGCAAGAACCACGTCTACTCCTGCAGGTACCCACCCCTGCCACTAGAGATTTGCACCATTTATTGGAATCATCCATAATGTGGGGAATCAGGATTTACAGTGGGGCCCCCAGGTGATGAATTAATGTGGTGTGGGGGCTAACACCATGCAGCAGTTTGGTTTCTGACCAGAAGAGAGGGAGCTAAGGAGTAAGGGGCTCCCCACTCAKCTCACACTGTGACACCTTTCGTGGCACTGAGCAATCCATTCTGAGAGTTTCTCATCCCCTTTTTCCCCCGTGCTATTAACCGAAGGGAACTTTGATTCCCTTACGAGATGTGAGGGTTAACAATGTAGGCACAACTTCTGGGTGTGGAGCGACACTTGACCTCATCCCAGTCTAGCAAGGGAATGCAAGGAGGTGAAAGATTTCTTTTCAAATGAGACCTTTCCTGCTTTTCCCAGTAATGTCTCACCTAAAAGCAATGAGCCTCCAAGAACCTGTCACCTCTGGAGCCTCCATCTCCCCCACAGCTTCTCCAGTTTTGCTRTCAAACCAATTAAAACGCACACACTGACATATCCCTGTCTGCTTTACAATTGCTCTGAGAATCTACCRTATACCAATGAGTCATGTCCACATATACGCTGGTATATATTTGAGTGATTTTTTTTTTCCAGAAGCAGGCTATAAATTATACTGCCGCTATCTTGGTTGACCTTAGGGAAAAAATGTTGTTTATCTTAAAGCAGGAGGAACAAAAAAAAAAAAAAAAAGGAAAAAAAAAAAAGTGGAAGCCCTTCATCTCTAATTAAAACCTGGAAGTTCTCTTTCTCTTCCAAGGTTCCTCCTCCTTTAAGGGCGTTCCAAAGTTTTGTCCTGCGAGTCACTCTGTTTGTTCGACAGGCTCCTGGGGTGCTTATCTCTCCAGAACACACCAGCCATCGTGGACACCCTGTGTCCACCCACAGCCACCCCAGGCACTGCGCGATCCCAACAGCAGGAGGAAATAGCTGCTCCTGATTTTTCTTTGGGAAATTTCTCCCCAGGAACCCAAAGATCAGTGTGTGCTATTAGCCAGGGAAGGGCTGCAGAGTTAAAGCCAAGCAAATGGCAAAGACTCCCCTGCCTACCAATCCTTATTTGGTGAGCAGTGCCCTTTTTAGCCCAGCTCTGCTGTTTATTGCAGACGTGAATTCCTTGGAAAGTCTTTAAGCCTTTGCACCTTTGGCGTTGGACCAGCCTGGGAAACTGATGGCAGTCCCTGAGTGTCCTGCGTTGTGTCTTCTCGCCGTGGCAGATTCCTATGCAGGCACATGCAAGTTCCCAAGCCCACCATGGAAATGGAGAGGAATTAGGAGTTTTTCTGCCTCCAAATGAGGCCAAATGAGCTAGAGACCTGCCAGGGCCTGTGGGATAGAGTGTAATTAATCCATGCAAAGGAGGATGGTGTTCAAGGCAGAACAAGCTCTTCCCTGGGCTCTCCCCATGCAGAGTGTGATCAAGACTGGGCAATTGGGCCTGCCCAAGGTCTTTGGGGTGCCAATGAGTTGGTTGCTCCATGTTAAGGTTCTCAGGGTGCCAATGAGTTGGTTGCTCCATGTTTCTCCCGTCTCCTCCCAGGTTCAGCCGCCAGTGCGTGATAGACAAAGACAAGAGGAACCAGTGTCGATACTGCAGGCTGAAGAAATGTTTCAGGGCCGGCATGAAGAAAGAAGGTAGGTGTGACCACATGTCCGGGTCCTGTGTCCCTTCACAGTTTTCTGCCCCTGGTTGACCCCCACTGTAGGGGAGTGATGGTGGGGAGCAGCGGCAGCCCTGACACTGGGACACCATGACCATGGGTTGCTGGGAGAGATGTCTCCTTCTCACAAGAAAACTTCATTTTCTATCTCAGACTATATATATCTTATATATATCTTGGGCAGGCTGGTCTCTGGAGGATATTTTTATACTGGGAAAGGGATGAGCTTCTTCAGGGAGTGCTTTAGAGCATCCAAACCCAGATTCTAGCTCTGAATTGCCTGAGGAAGGCATTTCTCCACGAGATGAACCTACAGATGGTCTTCATCAGGCCAAAGCTCCTCCTCGCACACACATTCTTTTAGTATCTTTTATCAAATAGACATGTAGGGCTTTAGTTTCTCTGTCATTGGCTTGCAGGAGGGGCCACACAGGGCTCTTTTTGTGCCCCCAAGAGGCCAGGTAGCACTGGGCATGTGCCAGGCTCCTGGACAGGGTGATAGAGTCGCTGCTTGGCCTTGACAAATCGCTCCTGGGTGTATTTTGTTTATTTGGCCTGTAAGCACTTCACAACAGGCCTTTCTTCGCAGTGATCCTGACAGGGAGACTGTTAATTGCAGCTGTGAAAATCTCTGCTGAGAACGGCCTCCTAAACCCTAGCAATTGAGTACAGCAAAGTTTTGCGTGGTGGTTTCCTTGGCTGATGCTCCTGCAAACCCTCGAGTAAGGCACAGGCAAAACATGATGTCCCGTGGGTCAGGACCCACTGCTCCATGTTGGGGTCTCCGTCCATCCCAGTTGTGTCCTAGTGAGTCCAGGGCTCAGTCAGGGTCAAGGCCTAGAGCTTGATTTGCTGTGATGGCAGCATGGCCATAGCATGGCTGTGAGAGATGGAACCAGTCAGTCATTGACGYAGCAAGCTCCGTAGTTCAGAAATGGTGAAATCTGGTGATCAGTTCCATTCTTTGAGTGGAAACATGTTTTTCTAATTGGTTTTATGGTAAAAGTTGTAAAACCTTGGCTCGTTCGCTCATTATCGATTGCAGCTCCGTGGAAGATGACTCACTTCAAGTTCCACATAGTCACATTCTTTGCAACTGCTTTTATGAGTGCAGCCAGGTTGTGTGCAAGCAAACTCCTCGTGTGTTTGGTAAGACAGATTTGAAAGCACCTTGAGCAAGGGCTTTGTGGAGCAGCACCGTGTGCCGAGCCTCGGTGCAGAGCCGCAAGAGGAACCCTCTTGCACAACTGTGTGCACAGAAAAGAACACAGTTATTTGCTCTAGGGTGGTTCTAGATTAATATTAAACAGTATTGCATTAGGGAAGGAGAGAAATGGTGTCTTGGGACAGAGCACTACTAGGATGGTACCAAGATTTGTGCATTATTCACACTGGGGACAGGAGCCGTGATGTTCGTGCTGAGGTGGCCCCAGCATTGAGTGCCTGGACATGCTCTGCTTTTGGCACAACATTTTCCAACCAGCCCATATAAAAGGGATCAGACTTTCCAGGGTGTGGTAATAAGGCTGTTTACCCTCGGGAGAGGGGAAGAAACTGGAAATGATGGTCATTGCGGCCGGTGTCTGCTGGTACACCTGGGCTGGGGCTGGCCTCATGGCCCGAGCGCCTCCGGCCATCATCTGCCCCAGGGGCTGGGTGCAATATTGGAAAACCCAGCACTTCCCAAATGTTCTCCTCCAGGAAAAACGAGCTGACAAGCTGGAATTTTTGAACCAGAAGGATTTTTTTTCTCCCCAATCTTCCTGTGTTGTAAGATATGATGTGGCACAATTGGGTATTTTTCTCTCTCTCCCTCTCTCCCTCTTTTCCTTTTTTTTTTTTTTTTCCTTTTTTTTCCTATTGGAAACAGTTCTAATATATGAGAGATTTTGAGAGGCAATGTGTTTATCTAGTTTGTAGAATGGAAATTTCTGTCCTAAAATAATAAGTTTTGTCCAAATGCCTGGGCTAGAACTAGCCTGGCTGCCCCTAGGGAAGCCGTGTGGCAGCAGGTCCCAGCACAGTTCATGGAGGCATCATCATCTTCCTTTAGGTTTCCCTGTTGGTTCAGTTGGGACTTTAATTACACTTTCCAAGAGGACCGAGGTGTGTCCTGCGCAGGAGCTGGGCGCCTCCAGAGAAGATATTTGGCACAGGAAGGTCTGAGGTGGTCAGCAAGGTGCACACCAGATAGTGCGACACTCAACGAAAGCAGCAGGATACTACTTTTAGCATATTACTGAGGTCACATTTAACCTTGAATAAATTAGCAGAGCGTGATTATTCTGATGAACCAGGTCATAAAATCCCTGCGAGCATTTAATAACCTTGGAGCCTTTTGAAACGCCCAGCGTTACACTGTCAGTTTGTCAGTGAGAAAGGAGGGTTAATATTTAACCTCTCRCCCTCTTTAAAGCAACTTATGAATGTGCATGAGCACCATTAGATGTATGCAGAAGTGAGAAGAATTATTGTACCCCCTTCTGTCACATCTCAGGGGGAGGAATTGAGTCTGGCCTTATATATTTTTCTTTAATTGGACAGGTTTATAGGAGTGTTTTGCCAGGGTTTCACAGGACTGCTATCTTGTGTCCTACCTATGATTTTCATATCTCTTTGCCAGTTTTGGAAGGTCTGGCATCCCAGGTCATTGCAAAGACAGATGGAAAAGTTAAAAGATCTTCTCTACTTTGATAAAAATCACGCATTGAATGACAGCACGTGGCAAGATTAATCATAGATATCTCACTGGGGTTTGCAGCCCTGTGAAATGTATCACCCCTACAATATCACAGACAGCCTGGGGAAAAGATATTTTGTGCATATATAAATTAATGGGGATGGGCTCGTCAACGCATGGTCCAAGGCTGGATTCAACCTGTGCAGGGACCGTGGAAAATTACTGGTTTGCTGCAGTCTGACTCAAATCAATGCCTGCTCCCTAACCCACTGGCTTTGCTGGCGGCTCCTCGTCACATGCCCTGGGCTGTGTGGCAAGGACAAAACGTTTGGGAAATTGGGCTTGCTGCAATTGCACAAACACCACTGTTTGCTCAGGAGCCCCAGGGGCGCGTTGCAGTTGAAATGCGTCCGATGGGCAGTCTGTGCAGTTTTGCTTTTGCTTCCCACGGCGGGGAGTGAACCCCTCGGTGCTCCCTGGGGATGTGGTTGGATCCCAGCGCRTTGTTGTGTCATTCCTCTGGGAAGCAGCGGGATGCTGGACACAGCACCAGGATCGCGTCCTTTCCTGGCCAGGCTGGYGTGGGATCCACTGCACCCTCCGACACCAACCGCCAAGCCCTTAGTCTTTTATGAGCCCAATAAATGCGGCCGTATAATTACCACACGGCAACAGATTAATGTTGTAGCAGGTGAAATATTAACTCCCTCTTGTATCTTATTCCATAGCATCTTGGGTACTTTCAGTGATAGCGCCAACATCACCTCGAGAAAGACCTCCCGTGCCGCCCGCTTGCTCTCCAAGAGTGGCCTTGGTGCACTAAAAATGTGCCCAAAATGATCCTGAGAGGAAGGGGGAAAGAGGCCTCCTGAAGGCATCGGGGACTAGAGATAGATCTGCTGAGTTTTGTAGCTCTTGTGTGAATTAAGATACATTAGCCAGCCGAAACCTTCCTCTTGTGATAAAAGCTGTGATTTAGATAGCGATTTTATTGGAGGATAAGTTTCTCAGAGGTTGTGGGTTTTGCTCAGTGTCGGGTGTAACAGCGTCCTGCTCCTGGAGTGATGTTGCTGAGTGTAAAAGCAAGGGAAAGACATGTTTTGGAGAGTCCGTTTTCCTCTGATTTATGTCCCTGTACATTTATGTCCATGTCCATGTACTGTGTAAAGGCTTCTGTGTACAGGAGGGCTGCGTCTTTTAAAACCCACCCAGCTCCTTGCAGCTTTCACYTAGATGGGGAAAAGGGGGTCCCTTTGATGGGACCCCCTGGCTCCCAGCAGGAGCAGCCACCGGCCACAACCACCCACCTGAACCACCCCAGATCCCTGAAAACCAACACCGGGCTCCTGTCCACGACCGCGTATTGATTTGGTCACTACCCACCTGCGTTCTGCCCTTTCACTCCCTTGGCCTCCCATCAGAGGCGGGTTAGGAAAACAGATAAGAGGTTTGATCTGAGCTCACCAAAACCCTCCTGGCCCCGGGAGAAGCGATGCTGCTCCTGCAGGGCTGCCCTGTGTGTAGGACAGTGGGATCAGCCCCTTCATCCCTGTGGGATCACCCCATCATTCTTGCGGGATGAACCCCAACGTCGCTGGTGGATCAGCCCCATCATTCCTGCGGGATCAGCCCCATCATTCCTGCGGGATCAGCCCCATCATCTTTCCAACGAGCTCACCAGGGAGCCAGGCAGACACCAGCTTTATGGAGATGCCCATGAATCTGGTCAGAGAAAAGGGTTTTGTCCCAAGAGAGGCGTCTGCTTTGGAGCCAGGTGTGCACTGGTAGGAACAGAAAAAAGGATGGGTGAATAATTCCCATTATGATGAATGTCCAAAAATGCCACTTTCTGGCATGCTGGTGGCTTCTCCGGGGCAAGAGCCAGCGGACAACGTGGCACCAGGCTCTGCTGCAATGCCCAGTGCTGCCCATGCTGCTTTGGTGACAAATCGCCCACTTTGGTGACAAAAACGCGCCCTGCGGCACCCGGGGAGTTAAAGCTCGGAGCCAGTAGCACTTTGACAGCGACGTGTGAGTCATCCCTCTAAACCAAACCAAAAGGAGCCTGGAATTGCTGTACAAGGGAGCGGGGATGTGCTGCGTTATCGCCACATGCTAAATCTTCCTGCTYCCTCAGCATTAAGGAACTGACAGTTGAATTTCGGAGCTGTCTGTAGCCAAGACGTATGAGCTGTCAGGGGAATGCTGAGTCCATACCCAATTCCTTCAGCTTCGTCTGGGATTCTTCCCCGCTGGGCTGAGGTCTCGGCAAGACCATAAGGTTTTTTTTGAGGGAGACTAGTGCTGAAAACAAGGTTGTCCTCAGCCTAGATCCTGCTTTTTAGTTTGCTGCTGGTTTGCTTGATTGTAGCAGTAGAGCCTATTCCATCCTCAGAGTCTGTTTTGCAAAAATAGAAGTGCAATAAATCTGTTATATTCAACATGGAGAAGMCATTGAACATGAGGCTAGATATGGTTTGTGCTTCAGGAAAAAGGATGCTGAAAAGGTGGAATGGACCTTCCCAAATCCCCYTTTTTTTTTTTCCTGGCTCACCATGACATGACCATGCCTTCCTGTTTGCAAAAACCCTATGGTTAATCTTCCCTGTGCAGTGGTTGCTCATTTCCTGGTTTCATGCCATCAATTGGAGCTCTTGTCCTAGTCCTCTTGGTGCCAGGTGAAAGCTCAGTGCAGCTGTGAACGGATGATACCCTGTTTTCCTCATGGAGAAGCTTTTGCTGGTGTCTTAGCAGGTCTCTTGCTCGGTACCTTCTCTCCTGTGAATGGTTTTTCCTTGCTGAAGTGAATTTACAGCCTGCTCACGGGCACAATATATCCCAGTTCCTCATCAGGATGCTTTGAGATGGGTTTGCAGTGATGATTCCCACGGATTATGGGCTTCCTATTGCAGGGGTCCATTCATTCTCATTCCAGCGTCAAGCAAGGGTGGAAGGTCTTGAAGATATCAAAGCCCTTGTTGTTGTAACTAGCAGCTCCTCGTTCTGGGGGAACGTGCAGCTAAGGTCGCTCTCTCCTTGCAGCGGTGCAGAACGAGCGCGACCGCATCAGCATTCGCCGGAGCAGCTACGAGGACAACGGCTCCCTCTCCATCCACGTGCTCACCCAGGCCGAAGCCATGGCACAGCAGGTACAAATCCAGGAATCTCCTTGCAAAAGCACCTATGGACCCTGCTCTTCCCTCTTGGAAGGTCAAGAACTCACTAACCCCGCCAGGGCTGCATGTCTCTGGTGCAAAAACTGGCCCTGGGAAGGAGATTCATTAGAAAGATACCCAAGAGCAAACAGTAGGAATCCATGGGTCCCTATAGACAGATGCAGCCTTTGTCATGAGGGACACAAAGCTGAAGTTTTGGGGATCTCAGGAACGTTAAAGCCCCCAGGTCCCCTCCGCGCCAACCTAAACTGCTGCTTCACCCCTGAGCAATTGCTGCATTTCAGGCACATATTTTCCCCCTCACTGCTATACACTATAATCAACCCTGAACGTATCTTTATAACTTTATTACCAGGGTAACCACTTCAGTGGGGGAAAAAATCTAATAAAATTGCTGGTTTAAACTAACGTCAACTCCTTTCTTACTGCACGTTCATGAATATTACCCTGCAAGTTGCTTAAATTCCTATGCAAATATACTTTCCACTGAGACATATGGTCCCGATTTGCATATGTATTTATATATATATATATATACATACAATCCTTCTACTTCGTTTTCAGAAATTTGCTACACTTTAACCCTCCCCTCCCAGCTGCTTAGAGGTCAAAATGTGTGTTTTGCACCCCAGACGGCCATGGTGGGGAAGGATGTATATCCATGCATACCATGAATAGCGCCTTGCATGTAAATAGCTGCTTTTAGTTATTGGCAAGGATTTGAGAGCCAAGGCTGATGCTGGGAAGGGGACTAGGAATGGGCAGGGAAGCGGAGGGATGGAGGGATGTGCGTTGGGAGGGAGCACCACCTCGTGGAGGCTCCGAGGCCGACTGTCCACCCAACAGCGTCACCACCGCGCCGGGTGTTGCGTTGGACACCAACGCTCCCRTGGAGCCCTCCTGTTATCACCAAACGGCCGCTCCCGAGGGATAGCAGGCGTTGGACGGGGTGACACGAGCCTACGGGGACCAAAGGCCTCCCTGTCTTGCAGTACTCGTCGCCGGGCCCCGCGCACAGCGCCGACATYGCCATGAAGAAGGTGGCCACCATCAACGACGTGTGCGAGTCCATGAAGCAGCAGCTGCTGGTGCTGGTGGAGTGGGCGAAATACATCCCGGCCTTCTGCGAGCTGCCGCTCGACGACCAGGTAAACGGATCCCAGGAAAATCCCCACCCCTGCCTGAATCCTGCATTTTCACATTAATATATAGATCACCTTATATATTAATATTATTATGTATTAATATAACCTTATATATCAATATATCTTTGTATATGCATATATAATTAATATATTAATATATATAACCTTATGCAAGCAGCAGCTCCTAGCAGGAGACGGTGAAGCAGGATCCCCCCATCTGACGTCCAAATAAACCAAGCCCRTCACTCCGGTATGCACAAGGACCCAGGCCAAAAAAAGGACTAATTTTCTCCCTATTCATGCCCAAGAGCTGAGTATAAAAGCCATTTATTCACCAATAATTAAACACCCTTGTTCTTTCAGCTGAAAACAACTCGTGGTTTCATTTGCTAYGTCTGCAGCACTCCTGATAAGCGATGCCAAGATATACCAATAATTTCTAGCTCTTAGCAGTATTTTATCTGCAGGCCTGACATCATAGCTAAACACAAGCTGACTTCRACTTAATCCGAGCAGCACTAGCTCCCTGCTCTGTCCACTGGTTCTCAAGTGCAATATCTCTTCTTCTTTATGTCCTCTTTCAGGTCGCCTTRCTCAGAGCCCATGCAGGGGAACATCTCCTCCTTGGAGTAGCCAAGCGCTCGATACCATATACTGATTTTCTACTACTAGGTAAAGCAGTGAAAAAAATCACTCCCGCTTTTTAATTTGCACACACAAGAGTATTCATTGCACACATTGCCAGGTCTGCTGCCTGTGAATCCACTCCATAGCCTGGGAAGGTCTCTGCAGAAAAGTAAAAAGGAAGAGGCTGTGACTTGTTAAACTGTCCCCTTCCCCATTTGATGTTTTGGGTGAAAGAARAATAAACAATATTTGAATGGGGCCCCAAACTGCACAGCCTTGTTTTTGTAACTGAAATTGCCAGCACACAGGAAATGGAGAATTTGGATATTCCTGCTTAAAAATGTAGTGCTGATCTATTAAAAACTAGAGTGCAAACGGGTATTGTCTTCTGTWGCCCTCTGCTGCCAGGAGCGTGATTATTCTTGGACAAAAAAATGAGAATGCTGACCTTAGCAGCAATGCATTCAAGCAAAAGAGGGAGGGAAACCTTCATCTACAAAAATATCCCATCCACTGAAAGCTAAACAAGAGTAAGCAACATTTGCAGACAGATATAGCAGAGAGTAAATCAGTACAGAATATGGACAGAGATTTGTATATGGCGGGCTAGCACCAGCATGTGTAGGCTACACAATTAAGGACCTAAGACTCTATTTAGACACTTGTCTGTGAATCCTGAATTTGGGTAAGAAATTGCATGCTGGAAATGTGCAGCACATGGGCATGGTGACTATCGAATCCATGCCCAGGGGGAGCTTCTGCCCAGCTAATTCACYGGGTCTTGATGCTGAATCTCTCTCACCCACCAGGCAACGACTTCATCATCCCAATGCACTGCCCGGAGCTGGAGATCGCCCGTGTGGCCACCAGGATCTTGGACGAGTTGGTGAAGCCCTTGAGGGACATCCAGATAGACGACAACGAGTACGCTTGCCTTAAAGCCATCATCTTCTTCGATCCAGGTGAGCTCCTTTCCTATGTGTGAGCATGGAGTTTGTAAAGGGATTATAAAAGCCTAACAGATATAGGACAAGCAGAGGGATAGACCTCGACCAATGTCCTCCAGACTTTGCAGGTCTTGGAGGAGCTCTACCACTCTTGGCCTCAGGAAAGCCCATCAGTCTGAAAGGAAGGAGATGACTGTTAAGGACATGCATACATGCTTATATTGAATTATCTATAAAAGAAATGAGTCGGCTGAGCAGTGTATGGAGCATCCATCAGCAATCAGAAAGGAGCATTAATAACCAGAGAGCTGGATTGCTCAGAGTACCCAGAAATACCAAGAGTCTTGTTAATGGGTCTTGCTGGCATCCATTACCAGGAGAGCCTGAAGAGCAGAAGGTGAGAGGAGASCGGGGAAGACTTATTTATTTACTACTTCCCATCAACTATCCTAATCCATATCAGATATGAAACAGTGGTAGCCCAGTCAAAGGAACTTGGGCACCCAGAGACGTCACAGTCTATGGGTCCCTGATGTTCCCTTCCTTTCCCTCTAAAGAGTCTTAGGGACAAAATAAAAACTTTTGGTTACACCTGCTGCCAATTAACTTCATTTCTTTCCCTCCCAGACTGCAAAGGCCTGAGTGAGCCTGGGAAGGTGAAGAACATGCGATTCCAGGTCCAAGTCAACCTGGAGGACTACATCAACGATCGCCAGTACGACTCCCGAGGCCGCTTCAGCGACATCCTCCTCCTCCTGCCACCGCTTCAGAGCATCACCTGGCAGATGATAGAGCAGGTTCAGTTCGTGAAGCTCTTTGGAGTGGCGCGGATTGACAGCTTGCTGCAGGAAATGCTGCTGGGAGGTAAAAACCCTGCTGAGAAGGACCAGCAAAGTCACTACATCTCAAAGCCTCTACCGGGCTTCGTGATGGGATTTGTGGGTCTTTTCTGGAGGAAATGGGAGCATATCTGGTGTAGAAAACACAGCATTGGCCTGGGAGCGGGGAAGTTTTATTGAACTTCACATCAGCTGAGGACTTGACTTTTAGGCAACAACCTGCAAGGCAACCCCACATTTTTGTTACCAACATACAAAAATTGACCCTAGTCGTAGACRAGTCTCTCCCTAAATAACAGACTCGATAGCGTTCATCTGATTTCTTGGTAGCTGTGCAAAAACTGATGTCTTGTCCGTCTTCTACTGCAGGAACTACCATCGATCTCCAGTACCAGTCAGGACCTCCCAGCCTCAGCCTGGACCCTCTGCCAGGACACGTCCTGCCAAGCAGCATGAGCTCTGTGATTCACCCTGTTCCAGACCGTACGTCTCCACTCCTACCCTGTTAGAGCCAGCTCAGTGAAGGGTCTGGATAGGAGAAGCAGTTATGAAAAATGAATTTGGGGCTTATTTATATATTTAAGTATTACATTTGAGTCAGGCTTCACCTCCTCCCCTTGCTAATTTATATTACTGCAAAATCTAGAAAAACATTTGCAGAAATAAGCCAAGATTCTCACATAATCGTGTGATGCCGAGATTTGTACTTTTGAGATGCTACCAAGCATCACAACAGTAAGAGCACACCAGGGTTGTGGAAAGTYGTTCCCTGCGAGCACAGAGAGCACTAGGAAATACCACGAAGGAGCCCACATGGTTATTAGTGGCAAGATGTTCCCTGCGCAAAATGTTTTGGTTGATGTCAACCAGAACACAATATGACCTGAAGACATGACCATCGTCAACCACTAGGGAAAGGCGTTTTGTTAAGGCGTTTCTCCACTGCAGGAGCAAACAGACAGTGCAATTACGAGAAAATGCAGGACGTGAGCTGCAATTTAGCAGCCTCTGCTGGGTAATCATAAGGTCTTCCACACACACACAGTCTTCTTCTATGGCTTATGATTTCTCAGAGCTCTTGGCAGTTTGTGATATTTCTCATCCATGTAAATGTAGCCACTTTGTATTTTTCCTTCTTTTCTTCCTTCTTTGCTCTCTCCTTCCCTCTTATGAATGAGGTTTAGTGGACAGCAGGTTGAGCTCTTTTCTGATGAGGAAAGAATTGAACTCCTTCTGAGTAGGAGATTGAAAAGTAGGTGGGGAAAAGTATTTCYCAAAAGCAAAATGCCTGGAGGATCTGCCACCTGTTTAAGCCCCACCACAAGCCAGGAAGGGAGCAAAGGTCTGGATTTTGGACCTCCACCCAACCCTAAGTGCCTGCTCTTGGTTCCTAGGACAGTTTTTTGATTGGACCCTGCTCTGCTGAAGAGCACCGAGGTGCATTTTAACTCCGTGTTCCTTCTCTCTCCCACAGCGTCTCCCGAGGCATCCCTTCCATCCCCGTCCACGAGCACAGGCAGCGAAGACTACAAGTTGGGCCCCAGCACGGGCGCTGCCGCCGTGGCGCAGATCTTGCCGCAGACAGTTATCCCGAAGCAGGAAATCCTATAGGCGGAGCTGGGAGGAGGAGCTGGAAACCTCGCTGGGAATGAAACGGGCCCTTTCCCTTGGCAGAGCACAGCAACCCCCTGCTTGCAAGCGGATCGGTCGCTCGTGCTCTTTGCTGCCCGCGAGTAACGCGGCGTCGCGCTGCGCTCACGACACCAGTGATCGGGATTGGGATTCAAACGCTCTTCAGCAGGAGCGGGATGGCCAACTCTTTGGAGCAGGGCTTGTGATTGCATTTGTTATCACCTAGCACCAGGTGATCGGAACCTTTTCTTAAAGCCTTCAGCCGCCACTGTCATAAAAAGGAATTCCTTACGTAGCTGCGGTTAATTGTTAATGAGGACGRCACACCTGGAATTGTCAGCTTGGGAAGGTCTGTTCCCATTAAAAGTTGAGTTACACTCCCGTTACTTCTGCTGTAGTTTAAAGAATATCTCCATGACCCCCAGCAGGCCAAGCCTCCCCCATTCCACATAGTCTTGGCTTAATCTACTCAGAGCAGCTCATGCTTAATGCTGCTGAATTACGCCCGTAGTAGCTAGAGTTCATCCATGAGTCAAATTAGCTGGGGTCAGTTGGTAAATGTAATTAAAAAAAAYATAATTAGAAGTAGTCTCCAAAACCTGTTGACTTACCCAATAAACCCTTGGTACCGTATACCATTTTTTACTGCAATTATACATGGAAAAGCAATCAAACTGAAGAAAATGCTACAAAACTGGTGAGGTGACCAACAGTTAACCAAGCTATGGCTACATACAACTCAAAATACTTATAGAACCTCAAAAATTTCCAAGAGCACTCGCCGTGGTGGTGTTTAAACGGATCCGCACCGTTCCAAAGCAGACTGCTGTACTCCTCCAAAGTTCCTGGCTGGAAAAGCGGTTCCCATGGCCTCCATGGCAAAGTTCTCGAGGTKCCACCGGTGGCCTCGCACCAAGCAGCACCACACGCAGGAGAGCTCCGGTCTGTCACATCACGGGTCAGTCCAGGTGCATCCCTCTTCRTGGCAAAAATGGGAGGACAGTTCCCGGCTCCGAGTTGTGCTTGTTGCCCTAATGCTTGTAAAGCACTTAAAGGTCCTCTGATAGAGGACACGGTGGAAATGCAATCCTGACYGAGAGAGGAGGCTGAAGAGCATCCAAACCTTCAAACGGGGAAGGCTTTGTACTCGTGTTGTCTTTCAAGGGCTAGGGAGGCATTTCAGAGTTCTCATTCTGCAGCACAGAGGTTGGAAAATCATTCAAGACAAGATATGCACGGGTTGAATTTCACCTAGGATCACAGTGTTTTATTTTTCTACTGCCTATGATGAATTTGATCTGATATTAAATGCTGATAGCTTTGATTTAAGCCGGTATTTCTGGAAAACAGGTTCAATGCAAACATTCCTGCTGCGTGAAAGATGCATCCGTACGTATGCACCGTTGCTTCCAGTTCCTCCATCCTGTAGATTAGTTTTCTAGAAATTCAATGTAAATTTATACTTACTAATGACAATAAAAATCTACAAAGGAAATAAATTCCACATGGTCCACATTTCTCAACTGGAGTCTTGCCTTTTTTAATTCAAAATTAAATGTCTCTATTAAATTCTTCAGTGCAAATACCCTTCTCCGCCCATCACAGGAAAAAAAAAGGATTATATACAGCTGCAAAGTTCAGTTTTCATTTCAAACTTTTTTTTTTTTTTTTTTTAGCATTACAAGGTATTATTTACTAAAATAAAAATGCCCACAAACAAGTAAGTTATTTCATCTTGCAAAAACGCTTGAAAATTGGATTTACTCTCCAAAGTTCAGTTAGTCTGGTGAACACTTAACAGCAAGAATTATGTATTGTCATACAAGAGRCCTACAGACCTTAATTTAGAAAAAAAAAAAATCTCTTCCTGGCTTCCTTATGTCAAACCCCACTCAAAATTAAGGCAAATATTTGGGAACGACTATTCTACTAGAATTCTGCTTTATTAGAATTATGAGCTTGTTAAGATATAAAAAAAAAAGTTCAAAAAAAGTCTAAAAATAAGCAGTGTGGCAACATGCTGGCTGAATTATGGGACGTGTCTTGGGTAGTAAACAAAGTGCTGCCCATTTCTCTGCAAATGATGCTTTTTATTTATAAGTGGCATCCACAATTGTAACAGCATCTAACCTGAACAGCAGATTAAAGGACCAGAACTGCACTGGTCAGTGCATTTCAGTTCGGTGTTACTAATCGACTTACTTCAGAAACCTTCTACAGTCCAATTTCTCCCTTTAAAACCTCTTAKCCACTTCGAGAGAACACCTTGAAAACACATGAGCAGCAAGGCCTTTTTCCTTCACTAGCTTTGAATGTATTTATTAACATTGTGCTATTAGAGAAAAATGAAAACATTCATAGGTAAGTGACATTTTCCTACAGAACACATATGAGAATGACCATAGATGAACTGCTGCTGGTGCAGTTTAAAACTTCAGAAAGAGACTAGGAAAGAGCCCGACATTAATAAGAGAAATTATTATAAAATAGGGATGAGGCAGGAGAAAGGATATAAACCAGTCCTTTCCACCTGCAGAGCTTCCTGCTCCATTTGACATTCAAACAAGCTCATCTCTTAAACAAAAAAGTCAATACAGCACAACTTACCTGTTGTAACATAATCATAACGAGACCATTAACCTGCTAAGCATACAAGGTGCTGGCATTAAGTTTATAGCAATGTATGTGGAGCTATTTTCTGCCTATGAATGCTTTTTATCTCGGCAAGTTGGACAAGCAGTCTATAAAGGAAGGATGATATCATACCCAGGAAAGGTTAAAACCAAACGAGCATTCTTTGGATTTGTTTGCAACAATAACAGCTTCCTGCGGCAGGAGAAATAAACAGCTTCCAGCTGCTCCACCTCGGCTGTCCTGTGGACCTTGTTTCCTCCTCGTGCTGTCGTTGGGTCAGTTGCTCTTTTCACAACTCTGAAATTATTATAATTTGCCTGAAGAGCTGCTTTCTCAGGTGGCTAAGTAGCTGTCCTTGTATCTGAAACTACAGAATCAGGAGGGGAAAAAGGTCAATATTTGGATAGAAACCGAGTTGCAGTTTGCACAAAAGCCATGTCTCTGCAAAGCCAGCTGTGTCTGACTTTTCCCAAAGGAAACATTCCATGTTCTCCCACTGGCCTAATAAGATAAGCAATTAAGGCCAGAGGATGCAGAAAGTAAAAAGCTTGAGGGCAGCTAAATAGTTAAATGTAGCTTAAAATCCTCAGGAAAGAAAAGGGAGTAGCATCTTTAATTTGACTTGAAACTCAATATACACTTAAACAYAGAAGCCAAATGATGCAAGACTGCTGCCCTGAAGTTCTTATAATCTGAATATATGCAAATGCTCACACACACATATATGCAACAGTGACATATAGCAGAGGTTATCAACTTTAAGACTTCAATTCACCACTTTATTTTTCTTACATTAAAAAAAATACAACGTAACAAGGGTCTGAAAAGCCGAGTAAACTTCATTTCACACACGCGCATACTTGCTAAGTCACAAGGTTTGATTGCTTTAAGTGATATTTTCTGACTTTCATCAGGATATTTTATTAAACAAGATACATTAAGAGCCTCATGACAAAGCCAGATACATTTTCTCCCAATCTTTAAGATGTGCAACTGAATTACGCAAAGATCCTTGTGGAACTTCCAACTTTTCCCTCATGTATACGAGACAGTTTTGTTCATTTGGCTGCAACTTCATTGGATGTGGCCACCTAGAAATTCTCCAGCACCACACACCATCTCCCCAAGCAAAGTGAACGGATTAGGTAACATTGCAGTTTCATTTGCAGGCTTATATCTAATAAATGGATCCCTTAGTAAGTTCACCCACCCAACGGTGTAAAACTTAATGAAGCTGGAAACAGCACAAACTGTTACAAARAGATGGAGAAGCAGGTCATCAAAAAAGAAATACAGCTTCTGTAGTAAGTAAACTTACTAATACAAGTGGCTTCAGCACGCTGAACTGCTTGAGGTGGGACAGATCCTCAATAGCACTGGCAAAGCAAAAGCAAAGACTGGACAGTTTAAGGCAAGTCCCCGAACAGGGAGTTCTTTACTTCCTAGGCACAGTTTCACACTATGCATCGAGGCTCCTTTTTATTTTTTAATCTTTACATCGTTGGTAGTTTATAGAACAAATAAGCAACAACAAAAATATTCTAAACATAATGTTTAAATAATCCACTTCTGGCTGAATTTCAACACTTGCAGATTTACAAAGGTATCTTAGCACTACTGTTATTGTCAGGCCCACATAAAGCAGTTCTGGATCTGTACTGCTCTCTTATACTTTTTGAAAGTAGTTTTGGTTGGAAAATGGTTAAAATCAACTCCTTTGCTGTTGCTGATTTTGTTTCTTCTACATTTAGGATTTGTTGTGCTTGAGAARGAGGCAAGTCCTGCCAGCACGGGAAGCCTTTCTCCTTTCTCTGATGTCTTTGTTCAAGACACCAGCGAGTTAACAGCTTTCCTTCTATGAAATGCCTGCAAAGTGCAAAGCAAGACCTCACAAAAACCGCTCTTTCAGTTCATTGCCTTCAATCTGCAGTACATTTGTTCTAATCCCATGAGGATACAGTCACTGGTCCCACTTRTTCCTGCACGGAGGACTAGAAACCATCCCAAGACACCCAAGTGTAAGTTCCTTTAGAACCAATGCACTAAGAATCGGAGACACGTATGTGAGGGCAGAATTTGGCCTGGGTTAAAAGCATCGTTTACTGAACGTTTAGAACTTACCTAAATGCCATACAAGATTAGTACTGCCAAACACAAAACATGCTTTTGTGAGCCTGGGAAGACATTTGGCAGGGGTGTAACAGTGCCTCTGACGTGGTATGCTGCCATGTGCACAAGTCCCTCGAATCACTTGCATATGAGGAATGTGTGTCTGAAGTGGGACACAAGTACAGCTCTGCTTATTAGGACAAGTTGAAATATAAATTAAAATTGAACAAACTGCTATTCCCTGAAAACTGGATTTCGAAAGCTGGGTCTCATCTGAGCTCAGCTTTCACAATAATGCTCTTTCCTATGATTGACAACTGCACTTCAGTACATAATTTTTTATAAAAACACTCAGGTAAGTCCCCAAACATTACCAAATAAAAAGGGTTTTAACAAAAATGCATAATTAATCTCATAAAATAAATTACAGTAGCATGACAACATTTGGCTTCTTTAGTGTGACCACGTGCTTTTCCTTTGTCATCTTGTTGTTAAGACCATTACAGATCCAGTTTGTGTCTCTGAAAGTTAATGAGATGTCTGTGACAAACGTATAAAACTCTGCTTGCTACAAGCAAATGTCCGATAACAGTTTCACCTGGTCACAGATTATATGCAGACAGCCTTTCTGGCCCCAAATAAATATTATATAGTATTCTTGCAAGTTCCAGCATAATTAAACTCAAACAGAAAACTCGGGTCCTCCTTTCTTTGCTCTCAAGAGAAGTCTCCTGATTCGAAATCCTGCAAAGGGATTGATCCACAGGAGCGAAGGCTGCCCCCCAAAAACAGACTTCATTCCTTCCCAACGTAGTCTCCTCTCCCACGTTGGCTTTTCACTCTTCAGTCTTTCAATCTCCTGCAAGTAAACACATGGAGTGACACACTGAAATCTACAGTTTGGTAAAGCGCATACAGCAGTTCTCAGAAGTGATGGCTATCTGGCATTCTTTAATTCATAGCTAGCGGGCACATTATTTTCTGTTGTTTATTTTTCAAGGAAGAAATGAGAATGGCTGACTTAGCCCTGCAGGTACAGGACAGATGCTTCCGAGCACACGACTATGAAACAGGTTGAGCCTCCTCCACAAACTGCTACTAAGACAAAAACAAGAAATGACCAGAAGGGCTGATGTGAAAGCCAGCAGGTCAGCATCCCGTCTACCTGCACTAAAAGTTGTTTATTCAGTTAACRAAACCAGGCAATAAGGCTTCCAGGAAGATTCTTTTGCTGCAATTACTGAAGCTGGGCTTGTTTTCCCAAGTGCATTTGTTTTCGGATAACCATTTTCTGTACCATTTTCCCACTAATGAAGGCTGGATATTAACCAATTGTTTTTCAACTCAGTAACACACAAAAGCTCTTCAATACAGAACACTATTAAACAGCATCAGATGAGAAAACCGAAGAGCCGCATTATTCAAATTCCAGTCAATTACCCAGCACAAAGAACATCCTTTCAAGGCTTAACACTGCAGAGAGAGGCRGGCAATGCCCAAACTCTGTTTATATTCTAATAAAGTAGAGCAAAGCAGAAGAGCAGCATGAAAGGCTGATACCAAGATGACTAGTTCAAGGATACACCTGAGGGAAGCAGTGTAGACTGCGCAGCTGAAAACCTAGCTACACATTTTATGACAGAAAAGCAGATAATCYAAGAGTATCTGTTAGAAAGCAAACTCAAACCTTTCTATTCTTACAGTGGTAGAACATAAAAACTATGATTTCTTTCAGATTTGKGTCTTTCTCAAGAATTAGAGTATCTCACTCAAAAGTAAAACCACAACTACATCATACTCTTCACGTAGAATTGTTAAAGCATATGAAAACAGCGCTTCTTACCGTTTCATCATTGCATATTGAGTGAATTTGGGTGCCAAACATGACTGCAGTGAAAGTGAGAAACAGAAAACCCTCAAGGCACAAGAAGATCATCAGGATCACAGTTACGGGAGGGGAGAAGTCACTGCATTCTGCAAGAAGGACATATGCACTTATAAAAAAACTGAAGAGCAAGTCCAGGTTAATATATACTCTCTTAACAGCCAGCAATAAAAGCTAAATAGTTTTGAAAGTTAAAACAGTATTTCACAGTTACTTCAAATTTTATTGTCTATCACTGTAGCAGCTTTATTTGCTGTCCAAGGAAATAAAGATTTCCTAACGCTCTGCAGAGAGAACTGTACGTGTATAGAGATGACAGCAGCTTGAAGTCTTATGTAGGATAAAGGTTGGAAAAACCATCATCACTGTCCTGCTGATCACTCTCCGTCACTMTGATCACAGCCATCCTCACTCTGACTTGCTAATTAATCCAGATTTTTCAGCTTGTTGCAATTTCTTTTTTTTTTTTCCTTCCAGCACCACACAAGCAATAAGGTTATGACTTGTACTCAGTCATATCTCTGGAGATGATCTGATCAACTAATTAACTCTGGTAACTAGTTAAGTAAGGAAGTGGGATTATACGTAACAAGTASAATTTTTCAGGCTAAAAAATGCTACTAGGTTAGCATCCATTTACCAGATCATTCAGTGAAAGAGGTCATAGGGATTCCCTGGGAAGAATGTGTGATCAACCCCCTTCCCAAAGGCACAAGGTCAGAGACAGCGCTGGGGCACTGGCATATTAGGGAATGCAAGTGAGAGCCCTAAGCAAACAACTAGGGCAGTTTAGGAAATKTCTCCTCTACAGAAGGCCCCCAGTTGGCTCCTGTAACAGAAGCGGGTAGGAAACAAGCTTAAGTTTCAGCTGTTCACAGATCTGTGGTGTGACACACAACCCAGCTGGTCCCTCCAGCTAATGCTGCTGAGATGGCTGAGGCCTGGGTACCTATTTTCTTCCTATTACAGAGGTGATAAAATTTTCTCTGCATGGGAAGCAAGTGGCAGTGCCCTTGACAACCACAGCTCCTCCACTGAATGATTAAAGAGGAGGGACAGAAGACTTCATAAATCTTTAAAAATCACAACTCATCTAAGCTAACTGGACTTAATGGCCAACAGCTACAGAAAAGATTTTCAAGACCTCACTTTAAAAAGAGAAAAATCCAATATTTCTTGCACGGGGCTCAAGGGGAATGTCATGACTGCCCTTTAACATCTGCTCGATTATGCCAGTGAAATTAAGTAGGTGCTTACCAGTCCACTGCCCTCGGACACAGGAGAAAAACTGAAACCCACACAGTATGAGCGCATGAGCTGAAATTAGGGCTATATACATCTGGAAATAAGAGAGAGTGCTTACTTTTGACTGTTGCCAGGTAGTAAACCAGACATTCCTTACAGCCAGCCTTGACCACTGCACAGCGAGTGTACTTTCCTGTTTCCATTTTTAATTTAACACAAGGAGGTAAAATCAAATTCTAATCAAGTTCAAAACTAAAAATGTGGGCAACTAGGGAAGTGTAAAGATTAGCTCYCTAAATGCATTTTCACCACTAAAACGCAGTAAAATTAGATGGTTTAAGATAACAGYACTTTACAAAATACTGATTAAAGTTAATAGGGGTGGAATTATCTTCCTGCATGGAAAATATCTTGGGTAGAATGGGGGGAGGGAGGAGAGAGCAGTTGTGCCCGTAAGCCATTACCGCTCGTACTAATAAACACGACCAAAATTGCTATAATCAAGGTAGAGTCACACTGGGATCAAGCTGCTGCTGATTTGCACTTACCGTAAACAGAACAAAAAATCTCTGATTTTTCTCACCCACGCAATTATTCACCCATGGGCAGTGGTGATCCATCTTCCGAATACATCGCTTGCAAATACTGCRGGAAAGGAAAGGAGATTTTAGTAGCAAAACAAAACTGCACGTGGTTCAATGTGGAAATGAGAAGACGCAGCATTTAAAAGCCACTGTGTAGATATCACTTACTTTCATGATGAACTATACAAAGGTAGTTTTATTAACATGGTGTTTGCATTTCTTTAAAGAAACCCTTTACTAATCTATGCCGCAACCTCTGCCAATTATAAAGCGGAACATATAGATCTGAAAATTAGCACTCACAAGCTCTTGGAAGAGGATTGCTGCATATCCAAACACAGAATCAAGCATATTCTAGTAACCTCATTTAGAGGCTGAATGAGCAAAACAGCAATCCTTTCTTGATGTCAAATTAAAAAAGCAAGAATGTCCTTTTCAGGGACGATTTTAAGTCAAAGTAATTATTTCATATTTACAGACTTTCAAGGTATAAATCTGCTCTACAAGTCAGAAAAAGCAGTTTTATCAAGAGAGAAATTTTCCCTTGAGGCAGTTTTAGCTACCCATACATCTCTTAAACATTCTGAACACGTGCAATCAAAGAAAAGCTTAAAGTCACACCTCACCTCACTTCCCAAAATAAAATATCCTCCCCCAAAATATGTCTAACTACAAGCAGCACCTGTTCTTTGCCTGCTTCTTAATGAAGAGAGCTGTTAAATGCTACTGTTCTTTGCTAGTTCTAAACTAAAGGCTTGATTTCTTCAGAGATATTAGTCAAATTTATTGCTTTGGTAATATTTTGGTAACTTACGTATATATAAAAGTTTTATATACACACACACAMATTTGCAAGGATGCGCAGCACTGGAAGGCTTATTTTTTTCTTTTATTTGTGCCCATCCGCAGCCAAAGGAACACTTATATATTATAACTAACAGTCATATACAGGAGCAGCAGAACAGTTGCAACATGTGCTGTGTTGAATAGTTCAAGTGATGCCCATGTTTCATTCTCCTGCGTTTGTACCCAAGACAGCCACACACAAGGTGTCTCAAGACTTTCCTGCAGAATATCTGATAAGTTAAGCAGTTTCACTTCAGCAGATACAGAGTTAAATCAGCCTCATATATTCAGGTAGCATTATTCAAAACACTTTGTTTTTACCGTATGTTTATTCATATGAGTCCTACAAGTGCTGCAGAGATAAGCCATGAAGCAAAGCTAGATGTTCACGACTAGAGCTAAAAAACAAAGTTGGGAAAAAAAATCCATACTTAAAAATTGTTTTAGGCATAGCAGCAGCCACATACGCATGCTGCAGTTCAGCAAGAAACAGAAGACACTCCTGGGTGGGCAATGCCAGAGTCCCAGCTCTCCCACTGCTCTTCTGAAGCTCCCATTGTTCTGAGCTATCATAACCCAGCCTTTATATTCCCACTGCTTCTTATTTTGCGGACATTGAAGACAACTCCTCTTCTGATGCAAATTACTTTTTAAATAGCACCAGTTATATGTAAAAAACACAATGCCGTAACCAAATACTGCAGCCATTCCCTAGTGCAGAAGAACCAACTATAATTCAAGACAAGATGATCACAAGTCTCCAAACAGAAAAAAAAAAACATATTTTCCTTTCTCGGCTTGCTGCTGAGTTCAGCCTCTCAATGACTTTCTGAGTTTGTGGGAAAGATGGTTACCTACAGTCACCAAATCCATTCCTCTTAATGCTAGACAGAATTTATGTCATCGTTCCAAGAAGAAAACGATAGCAAGCACAGCRTGAAGTCAGATTCAACCAAGCCAAGCACTGGAGGGCGCGAGGTGGGCAGGACACGCTTTCCTCATTCATTTCCCATTTGCAAGTCCACTCGGAGCTCTCCAWGCCATCAGATGCCTGGAAATCTGCCTTTTCCATTCCTCATCCAACATCACGCTTCCAGCCAACGATCTGGCAAGGAGGCTGAAATAGCAGCAGTGTTGCTCCTCCTACCCAGCCACACTCTCATTCACTTAAGATAGGCCTCTTCCTTACTTCAAAAACATTAACTTTGCAGTAAAAAATAAATTTCCTTTATTTTTCTGAAGTCAAATTATCTTTACTGTAAATATTTCTTTTTTTCCCCTCCCACCACTAATGTGTATTATGAAACAACTTTTCTTCCTCARAAGAACTTCTTTCACAGTGTTGCACAACAATTTTCGTAACTGCATCATAAGAGCCTCTTCTGTTAATAATTTACTACTCAAAACATGCACTGTGGCTTTGAGTGCCGCTATTCCATGACAGGAATCAACTTCATTTTCAAGTCTCTGCTATCAGCAAATTGCCACTTTGACTCCTTGGGACCCGACCATCCTTTTAATGCTCTTGGAATGGGTTTGTGAGCCACTAAAAAGTTGGCAGCATAACTGAATAAACATTTTCTTTCTTTATGGTACACTTCTGCAATGCTAGAGCTATGGCAAAGAATCAAATTCTGGTAGCTGATTTCTAGTCCATTTCCTGTCAATACTGGTGGATTCAACGATCAAAAAATTACAAAGGAACCATCCTTTGTTTTACTGAAGAAAATGTAAGAGTTTTGCCCTATCTGGGATCACAGGCTACTGGAATGTCCAAGGAAATGCAGCACCTGGAGATGGCGTCCCAGATGTTCCTAGGTAAATGCAGGGCCTGCCTGAAGTCTGTGTCAGCTCCAGATACAATCTCTGACATCTCAGCTAATCTACRACCCAGATACAGCAGCTGAAGATCATTCTATACTTGTTTTTATTCTCAGATGTGAGTGGGTTTGGTGTTTGGAGTGTGATGGGAGAAGGTCCATATGTAAATAGGCAAGATCTCAGCCCCAAGGCAGAGTAATTGTGATGGAAATAGCTGCTCTGCCATAATTGTCATACAGACAAGTGACAAGCACCGAGACATTTAATTTAGCAACAAATTTGCAGAATAGTTTTAAAGTCCTGAGAAAACCTTCGCTCTTCTTCTGACAGAGGCTTAAATTTTAATATTGCCACACATTTCAAGGCACATCACTCCTCACACCTATGAAGAGCCACCTGAATCATTAACATATTTATGCAAGCCTTAATTATACAGGAATATCTATCTACAGTTCTCAAATAATAAACATGGCAAATGCTCTAAAGTACCTGAAAATTCAAAAAGCTACAAATTAATAACAAAAAAAAATAGATTCACTATATTTTACGTAACATGCTAAATTCAAATTAACATCCCTTTTTTCCTTACTGAAGTGAATCACAAACACAAGTACATTTTACTGCTGACACATACAACTTTAGGAAATCAAGCCACCAAATCAAGCCACCAATTCACATATCATTTCAAATGAGGTATAATGAAGACAGGAAGAACACACACTAAAGTGATAATTTAATATATAAATGTACTTCCTAAACTTTATATTGCAGGAGTCATGTCTTGCACTGGTTTCCATCAGAAAGGCCTTGAGATTCTTCTATTTACCCTGCATTATCAGAAGCATGGAACAATAATTATAGTGATGCACAAGAAAAGTTATTCACAGACCAAATGCAACACACACAGACTATTCTAAAAATGCTCAATTCTCTTGCTTCTTTCCCTTACCCACATTCACTTTCAGTAGTGGTATATTACATATATAAATTACACTGCACTACATGAATTTGTATTGGATATAGTATGAAATGTGTGGAAAAAAGAGCGTACAGGAACACTACACCAGGACTCAATATGCAAAACTGCTTTATGGTAAACTCTGGCGTACCTGCAGTGGTGTGCACGTTCAGGTTTGATACTGCAGCACTTCGGACATTTGTAGATCACTTCTCCTGGTTTCAGTTGTAAATTATCCATATATTCTTTAGTGGCATTGCCTTTGGGTACAGCGCCCTGAAATCATTTCAGTTAAAAGGAGAGAAGGATTTTTAAATGATATGAGAGTGCTTAAGGGCATATTTTACAGACTTTATACCGACYATCTTGGCATAATTACCGAAACAATTTACTTAGAGCTAGTCTGCTATAAACCAGAACCACTTCCAGATGCATAAGTTACCTCTGGCTGATCTCAAATTGTTTCACTTGAACAAGACTCATCTGTTACCAAGTAATAAYGTAATTCTGATAGAACCTGCAGTTACCAGCACCCATAAAAAAAAGAATACACAGCTTTACATGCAGTCATAAGCACTATGAGTAGAATATTTGCTTAGCAATGCTTTTTCAGAGTAATTCTAAAAGACATGCTTTCTTTGCAGGAGCATACGTGAACCGTGAGGCTCTACCATTAGACTAAACCATCCACAAAATGTAATTCAGCAAACTATTTGAAAGATTTTTACTTTGAACTCCTTGAATTCAAGATTTAGCCTCCACTACATACACAACTTTTTTACAATCATGAGTCAATYGCTTTCCCTTTACAGATAAGTGTGTATTTTGGACGCTGCTGGCACAGACCAGCACTGCTTTCTCACCACAACTTCTTCATTCTACACCTCCCTTCTGCTACTGTGCAAGTTTCTGCAGCCTCATGATGAGCAGCTGAAGGAACCGATCCAGAAGACAAATAATCCGCAGGAAAACAGGTTATTTTTTAGCTGCTTAGTTCTCTGAACTCTTCACCATACAGCTGCATAAACGGTGGGGCTGATACAAGCAGAAAGGTGATGAACGGACAAGAATAAGCTCCTTCCAATAGCAATATTAACCTAGAACCTTGCAAGATCAGTCTAACTTCGCACAGCAGGAAGAAAATAATGGAAATTAGCAAAGCCACTCAGTTTATTTATATAGCCGAAGGCTTATCTGTGACAGGAACTGACTGTGAAATAAACTGGGATGTGAAATGACAGTGCAATGGCCTTTCTATACTAATTCCGGCAGGAATTAGCATTATTTCACACAGGAATATCTTCCTCCAGCTTGGCTTAGGTTGCCTGCAACATCCCATGATTACTTCTCAATAAATAAAAGCCAATGGCACCATCATTGCATTACCTGGATACGCTAACATAGTTTGGGGGATAAAATTAACTAGCTAGCAGACATCTCRCATTCAATCGCAAAATGCCTCTTTACCTAAGCAGGTGGTTTTGGTTGCCTATGGGCTGGAACAACCATCTTGCCTTTGTGTTGCCTGAGAGAGAGCCCAAGTTGTGCCCCAGATGAACTCTTTTGCACCAAAACACAAAGCTTGCTGGCTAAGTGGTGCTCCCAACCCGAGCCAGCTGGCACGCCAAGCGGTACGGGCTGAAAGAGCGCTGCTTAAACACTCATGCTGTGCTGCTGGAGCGCGCTCTGCAGTGGGAGTGTTCTCACTGAAGCCAGGAAACCGCTTCAGTGCAGGCGTCACGAGCCACCTCAAAGGCAGAGAGAACTCCTATAAGCACAAATATACTCAGTTCCAGAAAAATTCATGCTTATAAAACACAGCTCATGAATTGCCTATTCATCTCCCACTAAGGGGTAGGTCCACGCCTTCAGGCCATGCCTTTCACATTCTGCTGATAAAAATGAGTTTTATTTCTTATATGTTTCATGATATCACACTATTGTCAAACCCTTTCAGTGAAAAATCTATAAGTATATTTAAGATAACATGCTACAGCTTATGTGTTTTAAGGCAGTCATTCCTTTTCCCTTCAATCTTCATAAGAGTCTTGCATTCAGGTAGTCTGGAGAAGGGCAGCAAATTAAAAACCCAGACGTGCTTCATCTCAAATACACGTTCTTCCACAAAGAACAACCTGGGTCTAGGAAGATACTATTTCACCTGTACATATTTTTAAGCCATCTATCTCTGRGCTATCAGCTTTCAGAGCTGTCACAGTCTGTAGAAGTCAATGTTTCATCACTGGGTGTGAGCTGAGAAGTGATTGAAAGATCTAGCAAACCATTAACTACAGCGTCCTGGTGTCTATTTGGAACATACTCATAACTCTCATACACACTGTTGCTGTCTCAAAACATAGAGAAAATGGACTTTTTTCTTCCTCTCTCTTAACTTCTTGCCTAAATAGAGCAATAGATTTTAGGAGAAAATAAACAATTTAATCTCAAAGTTTAATTGAGAAAGAAGTCCAAAGATATAAGTCCATTTAAGACCTCTCACACCTACACAGTTGCAACTGCATGTTAGTTTCAGCTTCAATCTCAATTCCCACCGGGTCCATATACCTAAGTGCAATACCTTATGACATAGTACCTGTTATTTGATATCACAGTATGTGAATAAGTCTTTCCAGCACATCTACCCCTAAAAATTCTTTCACATTCCACTTCCACATAAGTGGAAGCTATAAGATGAAACCACAAGTATTTATAAAGTTTTAAAAATATTACAATGAAAACAAAAAGAAAAAAAAAAGAAAAAAATAGAATAGAAATGACTAAGTCTGTAGTGGTTTCCTCAGTGACCAGGTATTTCTCAGGAGCCTTCTGCTCACTTACAATTCATTTTACACTGCCCACTCTTCAAACCAAAGATTATTTTACTAACAGGAAATGTACGGATAAAGCATCTCCAGTTAAAGTCCATCCAGAGGGATGTGCAACTAACAGAACTCATCCCATGAGGAAGGGACAGACACATCTTGATATTCCTCTGCAGCCGACCAGGTTACATGAGAGACAAGGTAGTGTTGGGGAATGCTTGCATACTTACTGGATCAGTTAGCATAGTTCTCAGATGAGATGACAAAGCTAGCACTGCCAAGCAGTTAAAGAGAACACCGTTGATCACAGAGTACCAAAAGTCTTTGGAAGGCAGCAACATRACAAAAGTCACTACGAAGTCTGCATAGACGACCAGAAGCCACGTCATTATGGCACAGACCATCCCGCAGCCGTCGCGGATGAACCAAACCCTTTCTGCCATGTCGGCCTCTGAGGAGGACGAATCGTAGCTGTCATTTTCGGCAAGCAGTGGGTGGTGCTCGACATCGCGGAACCTGTGCCCTGATGACTGCATGGTTTTCTGGACGTGCCCTGCAGAAACCAGATACCATTACTTTGCAGAAAGAAACCTGAAATACAAACGCTGTCATTTTTAAGACAAACGTATCTTATTACTCTATTCTGAGCATGATTTTTTTTGATCAAAATTTGCTGCTGCTCATAACACTACATATAGCTGAAATGTTTCTGAAATCAAAAAAATCATTTACGAAGTATCATCAGTAAGTTTCTGAATTGTTTATTGAGCCTCACGACACCATAATTTCATTTCTGATCATGCAACTTCAGTGGCTGAGCAAGAGATTTGGAAAYAGTTTCATTTCTACCTTGCTGATGCCTGTAAACAATTCTTCTGTTTTTGTTAAAAATCCAAAAAGAAATAGCCGCCTCCTTTTATCTCAAAATAAAAGAGCGAAGCCTTCACTAAATTGCAGCTTATGTCTCAGAAACTAGCAAACTACAGCATTAGGTCATTGGCTTTTCACACTGCTCCAGGAACCCAGGGAAGAGCAAGAGAAAAGCAGAATGGAAAAGAAACTGCTCTACTTAGTTTTTATAACAACAACAGAGAGCGCATTAGAAAACAGCTAAATTTATGAAAGTGCTTTTGTGTTGGGAAAAGCCTGTTGCAAAAAATATATTGGACAACTGACAAAACAGTCTCAGATCAGGCCAAACTTAAGGGAAACAAATGGCAGTGGCTGAATTAGCAATGGCAAAGGATTACACGAATCAAGATTTTCAAAGAACACATTAACAATCTAGCTTCATGAAAATCCTTTTAAGGCTTTGTTGTTGTTCCAATGCGGAACAAAAACAAGACTTGAAACMTTTACAGTTTTCATGAAAACAGATTTTTTTTTTCCCCTGAGCTCTCTAACAAGCAAAGATATGAAATGGCAGTATTGAAGCGGTATCTGCAAGCAGGAGACAAACGGTAATTTAAGTATTATGCACTTAAAATAGCCCGCTACCTTAGAAATTACTGTGTCTGAAAAATCACATCGATTCATGCTATTAAAGGCCACATCTGAGAGAAACTTGAAAGCATCGTATTGATTTGGGATAGCGAAACAGAAGTCTTTTTTTTTTCTGCATTAAGAGTAGCCTCTCCACGACTGGTAGGATTTATGACACTAAGTCACATGCCAAGATCTTGAGCACAGCATCACTTTGCTAGGCTAAAATGGTCAAAGTGACCATTACCAGGTAATGAGACTCATGGGCGGCAGCTTTCAGATGAGATTATGGCTTTTTAAAGTACTTTTAAAAGGAATCAATTCAGATAAAACATATTCCAATTGCTAAATCTTTATGATTACTGCAGCCTAACTGCTAGGAGCAAGCAGGAGTAATCCAAGAGATTAGAAATGGAAACAGGAATGTGCAGACTGCAATGCAGAGATCCCAAAGAAACTTTAAAATAGATGACATATCAGCAGAACACAGTTAAGTGTGAGCTACTCCCTTGTCACAAAACTGGAAAAAAAAAATAGCCCAAAATCTAGCTCTGATCATTTGCTCTAGTCACTAAGGGAATGCCATGTTACACTTYCCAGTAGATAGCTCATGCTGGCTTTCTGTCCAAATTGAATAATAATAAACTTAGACACAAAAAGTTTCCTCTCTTATTATAACCCAGCTGTTAAAGCATGGATRAAGGTAGCTGCATACTGGAAAAAATGCCTTAAAATAAGCTTCGTCTTCATCATTGACAATTCAAACTTAAGTTGACCTTGGTAAGTATTGGCCCTCTCTTCTCAACTACTTAAAGTCACTCAAACCTTTCTGAATGTTTACAGTTAACATTACAGTGGATGCCAACTGACTTCAAAAGCACTCTGGGACAGCAACCACTCACTGCAGTCAAGACTTGTAAAATAAAAGTCAAATTTAATGCAGACTACATAATTAGCAGCTGGAACATGAAGACAGCTAAGTAGAAACTGGTATTATTTCTTCAAAAACGGATATGTAAAACTTGGAAGTTCTTGTCTGACTCCTTGCCCCACCACCAAACCCCAAAAGGCTGCAAAACCAGCTTCCAAACGAGCTTTAGACTACACGAAAGCTAACAAGCAAGCAAATGTGTAACACACCCAAAACACCCACCAAAATGCTTTGAAGAGACAAACCTTAAAAGAGCAACAAAGTAAAAATCTAGCTCCCCATTCTAAAGTTTTGTAGAAATTTTGCATTGCACCCATCTAGGATCTTAGCAGAAGAAACACATAATGAATTTTTTCAATCAAAGCAAGTTTTYAGTAGTTCAAGTCAACAAGTTATCACAGACTAGAAGAGCTAAAAAAACAGCTGTACACATAAATATTACAATATTATTACAATATATTAATACATCATAATAAACGTGAACTTTGTAATTAATTCTTTAAACCACCATTTCATTATGAAATGCAGTGCCATAGAGTTACAGTATTCATTTTGTTTAACTATATTAAAAACAACAACAAAAAATCAGAAAATAATATATATACCTCACAAACTTTTTGTATGTTATTCTGACATCATGTCCTTCCTTTAGGCTATACTAGGATATGCAGTCATATCTGGTGTAATCTGAAAAGATACCATCAAAGCGGTTAGCAACACGTTATTTCTTCGTTAAACTAACATTAAGCACAAATAACAYACTATGAAAAGATTGTTTTGAAATATATTGCATGTTCTTACAGCAAGAAAGCTTCTGACTAGCGAAAAAAATTAGATTGTTCTTCATGATAKCTTGATCCATGTACAACACTCTAAACAGATGGATGTCAAAATTCTGTGTATGAGTCCTGTTTACACTTGGGTTTTTTTAGGCAAGAGAAGCATGTTTAGCACTACAGACTAGAGTATCCAAGAAAGTACTTCTTTTGCATACCATTCCTGYAGGACCAAAAAAATAGAGTATCTCCCCTTGCAAAAATTAATAATATCATCCTACTCCAGAGCTTAGAGCAAGGTATTTTGTAGAAACTTGAGATACAAAAACACTTACTACTATTTTTATAATTATAGAACATGCTAGGAGAAATTAGGAGTTTTAAATTTAATTAGATTGAGTTGTGGCTGATTTAAAGCAATAAAGCTACTTTTTCCCCACACTTAGCAATTTCTCTTTGCTAGGATTCCATCACATAGGCAAATAATAATAATGCAATATTTCTTATGATATACAAATTAGCATAATGATTGAAATGCTGCATAAGCTGCTCTAACAGTGTTCGACAACATGAATATTTCATGAGCTGGAGTCTTAAATCTCATTCTTTCCTTTTTACAAGGATGCAACACTCAAACCTCCCACACAGTATGACGTGAGAGATCATGATTTTAAGAGTCCAGGAGATTTTATTTTTTATAAGAAAAGGAGCAGAGGAAGAACACACTTGACTTAGAAAAACAAGCAGTTTAAARCTCAAAAATGTCTACATTTGAATTTCAGAGTGTTTGGAGCAGGCACGCAGTGCAGAGCCCCGAGCTGGGTGGCTCTTTGGAGAACAGAGGACACGTGGACCTGAAGTCCTGCCCTGCAAAGCAGATGAGCACACATGTGTTGCACAGAAATACGTTGCTCCCGGCAGCACCAATTCCTGAAAAACTGGGTTTGAGACCTCTGCTTTGTGCAACAAGCTCTGGAAGCCACTGCCACGATCTCACCCAGCCTGCGGTGCCAGTTATAACACGTCTTGTGATTAAATCCCCAGGAGGCTACCAAGGAGGATTTCCTTGCTTTGTTTTATACAGTCCAGGATAAGACTGGCTCCTAAAAGGGATTTCAGTTTCGTGTTTGGCTACGAAAGTACCTAGGTTTACTTTCTCAGTTATTTTATAGTATTTTAGTTTCCCAACAAAACAACTTCACTCTTTTACTTGGAACGTTACATTAAATTCATGTATTTTCAGAGTAACATAAAGATTCTACTAAACACTAGCTATAACAAACGCTAAGCCATTTCCTATTGACTGAAAGCTTCTGAAACTAGGGAATGAGAAGCTTCCTGTCTTATTTAAAGAAAATCGTATGTTTTACTGCAAGCCTACAAGGCAACACAAACGCTTACTATACATTTATCTGAGTGAAGTTACTGACTGCTTTTTGTTTTGTTTTATAAAGAACCTTTTATACCTTGGTTAGGCAAATTTTCACAATATTGTGAAGTCTGCAGTCATTAAGCTGTCACTGACTTGGCATTTTGTGGAAGCTAAGCAGACACTCATAAAAAGCAGAGGAGCTGAATATATCATTAATTTGCAAAGCTGCCCACCCATTCTCTAAGTCAACGATGACAGGAAATAGAAGACGTGCCAACCCTCTGCAGGTGAGATATTAAAGTCAGAGTAATCATTTAACATGATTAAGTTAGAACTCATTGACTACATGGTCAGGTTCCTAATTAGTCCRGGTAATGCTCTAATCCTCAGTGCCATTCTGCTCAATATTTCAGTGTGTCTTGTGGCATCAGCAGTCATTGGTTTTCAAGGAAGAGCAACTGCAGTTTAGCTGTTGTGATAACACTAATATATTCAATATATTCCATGCAAAACGTTATCTGTTTGCCCAGATGATTACCTTAAACTAATTTCAACTTAATTCCACAATTAGATGCTATTTGAAATCCTTGGGCTGAACATGTCTTAACTGTCTTGCTTCTCATTGTTAATGAAACACAGGCCCAAAACACAGAAAAAGTTATTGGAACAATGATATTCACAAACAACAGTCAGGCTGCTGAAAAGGTGTATGACAATCTAAAAAAACTATGAAGAAAGTACTACTAATTCACGATCCCTGGAAAGACGATCTTGTAAAATGTGTGTTCCTAACACATTTTAGAGCTAGAGAAGATTTACAATGTTCCAAATGTATGTAGAGCTAGAAGTGCATCAGTTCTCTTTTCTCCGAGTTTAGTCAAATAAGGATACTGAAGATTTTAAGAAAATGAGAGAGAAAGAAGAACACTTGGAGTAAAGCATAGTCTTCTTGCCTGCTATTTTTTGAGGAAGAAACACAAAATGTTGTTCTACTAAACTTAACTCCTATTGACCTCCTTTTACAGACATTAGATGTACAGATAACAATGGATATACAGAGATTTAAAAAAAACATCAACTGTCAAATCTTGAATCTTTTCTTGGTGGTTTGTTTTCTTAATTTGTGAAAGGGACAGTTGTTAAGACTGCTCTTTTTCTGTTACATTGCAGTAAACAAAACGACTTATTTCAGCTTTTCTGGTTGAGCACTGATAGGTCAATAGTTGTAGGGGCATGAACAGATACTGCTTATATAGGACGGATTTAAAACCTACTGAGGAAGCACTGGATCAAATCAAGGTCACAGAACCCTGGTCTCAGCGAAAGGTTATAGAGCGAACAATTTCAGTAACAGCAAAGTTTTAAAATAAATCAAATGGGTAAATCTAGTATTGCATACAATTCCATGGATAGTGAAGACCATTCATTGCTGACAAAAAGAATCTACTAGCTAATATGTAGACGTAATCAAGCCTAATTTAGATAACCAGGTTTTCATTACAGATGCATGCAAGCTGGATTGCAAGGCCATTTAATAAACTGTGGCTGCTTTCAACATCTGCTTGGTGAGCGGTTTAGCAAATAGCCACAAACACCCTAAACAAAAACCCATCAATGATGCTCCCATATCAGCCCTCACACACTCACCTTTTGCCATATGTATTTCCAAAGATACACATCTGACTTCCAGAAATTGGGATATATAAGCCATACAGTGCCCCAGCGTGCAGCCCTCTGAAAAGGAGCAGGTTGAAGAGCTACCACCTCAGTGTCATTATCACTTTATTTACGAATCTATCCCATGTCCTCGGTAATGTATCCTCATTAGAGCAGATTAAAAATGTGATGTTGTTTGCTGGGAAACACCTACCTATGAATGCAAATGACATTTTTCAGTGAGCAAATATATAACATGGCCAAGTTTAAAGTTCCTTTAAAGATCCTCCTTATTCTGGTCTTTTATTGCAGCTTTCCAAAATCAAGCATCAGGCCATAAGAAAACTCTGGAAGTGCTACTTTTCAGAACAGAAGATATGTGTCTTCTCTATAACCTCAAAAACAGGAGAAATAAAGAACTTAATTATTGATATTTTACTGTAAATATGGTCATCTAATTACTAATGTCTTTATGTTGGTAATACCTTCTAAACATCCCAGACCACAGCACCAAGAACTCTGGGCCAAACAAGTTATGTCAAATGAAAGAAAAGTTATGCATGTCTTTAGAACTTAAAAAGTGTATTATAATTTATAATGGAAGCACCCATCAGCTCTCCTAAGTGGAAAATGGAAGTTTTTCTCCTTTGCCAACAGCAATTGGCAAAGTAAGTAAAGCAATTGTACTTTAGAGCGCAAGTTTTCAGGTTAACCTGTGTATTATTTATCACTCCATGCTACACCCTCACTTGAAGGCAGCTCGGTAATCCCATGCCCTGATTCTACCACAAATCACGCTGACGAACACATTTTTAGGCCAGTTATTATATCCACACCCAGGAGGGATCCTTCCTTCCGGGTGCCAAAACATAATAACCCAACCCAGACTATTTCCACCAGCACGACAGATCCTTCAGCTTTCAATACTGATCATGGGAGCGTTAAGGCCCTTGCTTTAATAATACTTGATACACGTACAGCCTGGTAGCTACTTTCTGTTCTTCTTTTTGGGGTTTTTGCCCGCTGCAGGACACTCACTTCGCTTCCCTTACCGGTTCCATAAGAGGCATAAACAAGAAGCTCATCAGTTGTAGATGGTGCAAAATACATTGAGTTTGAGCAAAAGTCCCAAAGCCCTAGAAATAGGAGAGTTTATAGCTAGAATCAACTTCATTTAGCCACAGGGAGCTTTCAACTTAAAACTTCACTTTCAAATACTAATGAATCACCATGACACCTTCCTCCACCTGAGGATTTTGAAAATCAGAGAGCATCTATGACAAAAAATGTCTAATTTAACCCCATTATCACATGCAGCTTTCAACGTAATGACACCTTCAAAGCCACGAGCCACACTGGTGTGACCAGCACTCCAAAACCACCGCAGAGGCTCGACTGTAAGGGCAGCCGTCAGCAGGCCCCCTATTTATTTTATTTTCTCTCCCATAGGGCACAAATGGGTGAACCTGAATCTCCCCCTCTCGCTTTTAACACCGCAGGCCCCGGTCCCCATCGCTAAGGGGTCATTAGTAATAAATAATAATAATAAAGGGGTTAAATGGGGTGGGAGGCGGCACGAGCGCAGCAGACACTCGTCCTCACTCACCTTCGGCYCGGGCCCCGCGGGGCCGGCCCGATCCGGCCCGATCCGGTTCGGTTCGGTCCGGTCCTGCTGAGCCCCGCCGGGGGACACGCTGCCTCAGGGACCCCGCGGTGGACTGCGTTGGGTTGGGCCGGGCTGGGCGAGCTCAGCGCGGCTCCGCGAGGAGTGGAACCGGGAGCGGAACTGGAAGCGGGACCAGGACCGGGACGGAGCCCATGTCGCTGCGCCGCCCCCTCCCGCCCGCTCCAACGGCCGCCGACTCCCGGAGACGGAAGCCGCGCGGGCCGCACTGCGCAGGCGCCGCGCTCGGGCGGGGCCCGCCCGCGGCAGAGCTGCGCACGCGCACGCCGCACGGAGGCGGGAGGGGGCGGACCTCCCCGCGCGCATGCGCGCACCGCGTCGTCCTTGCCGCCGGCTGTGCCGCCGTGCTGCGCATGCGCAGTGGCGTCCGGCGGCCGTGACCACTGCAGCAGCGCGAGGAGACAGCGCCACCTAGCGGCTGGGCTGCCCGCCTCTCTGCTTGCATGTATATATGTATAGATGTTATATGTATATATGTATATATGTATATATGTATATATGTATATATGTATGCATATGTATGCATATGTATATATGCATATATGCATATTATATATATTTTTTCCTTCGTATTTCTGTCCTGAAACGCTGGAGACAGAGGAGCTGCTCGCTCCTGTTCATAATCACTGCGTGTTTGCTCGGTCCTAGCAGATGAGCTCGGCATGCCGCGAGAAATCACCCTAACCCACCCATGGAGGTCACGCAATATGTATAAATCAGAATATATACAGACTGTATGTATGTATATATATGTTCACTGTATGTATCTATATAAATGTATATGCATAAGTGCATATATGTATATATAATATATATACCTGCATATAATATATATGCCTGCATATATATATAATATATATTATCCACATCTTATTATTGACAGAAGCACTTTCACACTGAGAGGCCTGATCTTTTCCTAAAAGCTCCTTTTCCTTGCATTAACTTATTATAACTAAGAAGCATCCCTTATCCAGAGGTTAAAAAAAAAAAAAAAGGGGGGGGGTGAAAACAGGAAGAAAAGCAGCTTTTGGGCAATTGCAGATGGGGGAACCATGCTGTAGCTCTGTGGATTTGCTTGCACTGTGTGACACATTCACCCACTGGATGGTGCAGAGCTGATTGATGTGGCCTTCCCAGACAAGCTGGCTCCAACAGGCTCACTTTCCATCTGCATTTAGCGCTATTAGTTGCAGGTTCCTCATATCTTCCTAAAAAAAAAAAAAAAAAAAAAAAAAAAAAAAGAAGAAAAAAAGTCAAGATGTGTACATCACACCTCAGGTCACATTGTTTTACACCTCTGGCAAAAGGCATCAGAAAAAAAAAAAGGGGGGGAGAATTTGCAGGAACATGTCACCTGTCCTCAGTTCTCACCTCAAATGCTGAGGGGCTCATTAAGCCCAAGAGACTCATGGATTTTTTAGCACCCGGTCCAGCAAATATTATTTTATGCCAATGCTTATTTTTTAATGGAAAAGGAAATACATGCAAACCATATTGCCTTCCCCTCCAGAGCCTCTGCCGTCCCGTCCTTCTGCTTTTGATCTGCTGTGGTCCACAGCCAGCGAGAAAACAGACTCAGAAAAGAGGAACTGGGTAAAAATAAGGTATCTTTTCAAGAATAAGGTGGAAGAGCTATCTCTGGTGTTAAAGAAATGTAAAATGTATCTTCTGCTGGCAAAGGCAGAGCGAGATAGAGCTGCTGGGAGCAGTGTCCCTTGCCATAGGGTGTCCTTGTGTGTTGGCACAACGGGGCTGCCCAGGACCCCCAAAACCGACTCTCTTGCAGGGCAACAGCTAGGCAGGAGCATTTCAGGGTCCTCCATTTCCTCGAAATCCGCACGTTTCTTTGGAAAACCGGCTGGATCCGTGCGGGCGGCGCGACGGGACGGGCTGAGCGTGCTGCTCCTGGAGGGGCTCCGCGCCGGGCGGGCGCAACGCGGGCGGGGAACTCGTTTACCTGGGGCAAACACGCAAACGGCAACAATAACAGAAATTAAATAAATTAAATAAATTAAATAAATAAATAGGAACAAAGTCGGCTTCAGACCAGCACGGAAATGAGCGCAGTGCCGGCAAATCCGCGCCCTCGAGGCGGGGTTTGGCCGCGAGGTTCGGCCGCCGATCTCCGCGCACCCCGCGCACCCCGCGCAGCCCCGCGCGGCCCCGCGGCGATGCTGGCGCTGGTGGCGGTGCTGGCGGCCGTGCTGGCCGCGCTGGTGGCGGCTCGCGGGGCGGCCGCGCCGCTCAAGCGCTGCGCCCTGGGCTGCCTCCTGCTCCTCGGGGCCGGCGGCGGGCGGCAGCGGGCGGCAGGCGGCCCCGCCGAGCCCCGGCGCCCGCGCGCGCTCCGCTCCGACCCCCACGTGAGTGCCTGGTCGTCCTTCCCCCCACGCGCGGATCCCGCTCCCCGGTATCCCCGTCCCCAGATCCCGCTCCCCCGGGGACACTGGCTTGGACATCCCCGTCTGTTAGGACCCATCCTGTGGCTGCCACATCTGCTCCCCACCCTTGTCCCTTATCCCCCTGGACCAGCATTCCTCATCCCCAGGACCTACATTTCCTCCAGCACCTCGTGCCTTCACAGTCCCCTGTCTCCAGGGCCCCCATTTCTCCAGAGTTCACATGCCCTATATCCCCCAGGACTCATACTCTGCAGATACACTCGCCCCAGCTCTTCCATGATGTGCATCCCCCAGGACCTCCATCCCAGAAGCTGTATCCCTCAAGGACYCTCATTCCTCAGGGATCTTCATTCCCAAGACCTGCATTTGCCCAGGATCCACACCCAATGGGGCTGTATAGCCCTGTAGGGACACACATCAACTGGGACCTGCCTCCCAGCACCCCACATCCCTCAAGGACCTGATCCCCATTTTCCTGACCCTCCTTGGGGCTCATATTCCCATTTCCCTGCACCCCAGGCAGGCTGGGGATGTCCCCATGGGTGTCCCTTGCAGGCAGACTACCTCTAATCCAGCCAGCTGGTTTCAGTGGGAGAAAATAGCCATACTGTGGGGCACAGTGGATAATCTTGCAGCAGCAAAACGCTATCCCTGCCCAGACATGGACACAGGAGTCTCAATGTCTGTATTCCGACTTGTAAAGTCCACTTGGAGTGAGATCTGCCCCATTATGTGAAGCTGCACATTTGCCCTGGCAAATGTGGACTCTGTGCCTAATATTGAGCTGCGCATTAACTGGCCCAACGCCAGCTCTGTTCCCGGCTGCAATAGCACCAGCTTTCCTGTGAGTCCACTTTCGCTTTCTTTTTCCTTTTTAGTTCTAAGTTTTCCATGAGTAAAAAGTGTTCAATACATATTTATCCCCATTGGCTCATATAATTGGTGCTAAACACAGAGCAAATGTAAAATTGATTGTTTCCAGACCGTGGAAAAGAGCAAAGTCCCTGTCCTCCYGCTCCGGCTGGAGCTCCGATCTGCTTCCTTCTCCCTAGGCTCTGGATTCTCTTTATTTCACGGGCTTTGCAGAGAGCAAYGAGACCTTCGTGATCGCTCGGCTTGCAAGACGTCCTGGTGGCATCTGCGAAATGTGGCTTTTCCTCAGGGTGGAAGGAGTAGGAGAGTTTGAAGTAGGTGCTGCTCTAGAAGGTGACTGGGGCTGAGGGATGGATGCTTGGGGTTTTTTTTTCTGTTTTTTTTTTCTTTTTTTTCTTTTTTTTTCCCTTTTTTTTTTTAATTAATGGCATATCTGAAATGAGAGCATGTTATCCAATGTTATCTCGGCTGTTTTACGTGCAATTTTTCCTCACTGTTCTGTGGTTCTCTGGTAGAGCTGAAAAGCCAATTGAATCTAAAGTTACTTCCCCAACAGAGCCAGAATCCATCCCCTCAACTGCATGAAACAAATGTTTTCCCCAAATGTCTCCGTAGCACCCACAGCACCCAAACATGATGGTGAGCGATGAATCTGGAGAGCACTGGCGTGGCGGAGGGCTCGCCATTGAATACTTGGAGCCCCAAAACCTCTGGAAAATAAGCTTTGAGGGATTGCTGAGGTACTGCAGCACTTCTTAGTTTGGGTTAGGAATAATACAAAATCTAAAAAAAAAAAACCCTTAAAAACTGTTTGTTTAGGGATGACACAAAATTACGATATTTTGCTTTGCAGGAAAGGTCCCTATCGACAGCAATGGAGTGAAGAGGAAGGCGAACTTGTGTCAGTTAAATTCTCTCTCCAGTAAGAACATTTCCACTTTGCTCTGAGATGTGTAGTAAGTTCCTAGTTAAAGATTTGTCTCATTTTTTTTGAAGAATATATAGACAAAACTAAATTCTCAACATAATCAGGACTTCAGTGGCTGCTATTTAGGAAGTTGTCACAACTGAGACCTCACCTTCTGATATATTTTGGGGAAAGAAGATGCTTAACAAGGATTTTAGGGCTTCTATAAGAAGATGCTGTGGTCTCAGAATACGTTTGTGCTGCTTTCTGGTATATTTCCTATGTTTTGTCTATTAGGAGTAGAAATAAAGGCCAAGTAACAACTAGTTTGGGAATGACTCTGGCAAATGTACAGGAGCTGTGCTTGTAATGGATTTATTTTTGCCCCTTTTTTGTGAGCTGGGAGAACTTCACCGAAGTCTTCAACTTCAGCACCGACAGTCACCCCAGCACGTTTGTACGGGCCCTGGCCGAGGAACCATGGAGCACCGAGCTCTTCCGAAGGGTCAAAAAGTGAGAGACAACATTAAGCTCTGCTGGGGATATTAGCAATTTCTCTATAGACCTCCTCAGGATCTGTCTTGTGTTGTTATGGGTGATTTTAGAAGATGAGTTTAATTAAAGTGAACAAATAAAGGACAGGTATCTCCTGGGCTTGGTCACCACAACACTCYTGGTGACCTCTAAGGAGGCTCCTGCCCATGGCTGAGGTCTTCCTGCCACATGGGTAGAGAGATGTCCTCCTCCTAGGCTACAGTTTGGGCCTGTAAAGCCTAGAGAGTTTGAGATATTTCATTTTCAGTATCTTTTAGTTGTTTGGCAACCTGAYCTAGGCTTATTCTGCAATGTTCGTTTATCTTAAGGGAAGGGTTGAACGTTCAGGCCTTGATTTTGCTGACATTTATCAACTTCTGCTTTTCCCTTCCTTCCAGACAAAGGGAACATTTCCGTCATGAGCAGTGGGGCCAATCGGTTGGAGAAATCGAAATAGGACCTCATAAGAAGACAAAACTTTCCCTCAAAGGCGTCCGGAGCCACTCTTATGGTCTATCTTATCCCTTCCTGCTCTTAAAAACAGCTCCAATAGCRTTGTTTGGGGCATGTATGCTTGGCATGTTATCAGTTATGAGATAATTTCTTCAGTCYAAGTTGATGTCTAATGTCATTATTTCACCTTGGCCAGCAATGATGAACTTCCTATTTGGTGATTTTTTCCCCTTTTTTATGCAGGTATCCGGAACTGGTCTGACATTTACCGTTATGTCATGATTTTGGCACGCTTTGAGGTAGGTATTAACATGCCACTTAAACAACTTAAGCATGAAATTGCAGGTATGTCCCAACGTGTCAGGCATGCCTGAAAATCCAGGAGCAGGGCACTAGTGCATGGAAATGTTAGCAGGAATTTGCAAAGGTAGAGCTGAAAAATACCTGAGATTTTGCTACATGGGCTGAAATGAAAGGAAGGAAGGAAGGAAGGAAGGAAAGAAGGAAGGAAGGAAGGAAGGAAGGAAGGAAGGAAGGAGGGAAGGAAGGAAGGAGGGAAGGAAGGAAGGAAGGAAGGAAGGAAGGAAGGAAGGAAGGAAGGAAGGAAGGAAGGAAGGAAGGAAGGAAGGAAGGAAGGAAGGAATTGGTTAATTGGTTAATTTGAAACTATTTATTTTTGCCTTTGTAGAAAAATTAGATTGGTAGCTTTACAGAACAAGTTCTTTTGTGTTATGAGCTATATATATGAGTATATATGAGTTCCCTTCTTCTTTGATATATGCTTGCTGTGGTCTTCTTACTGTCCTTGATGGCCTTGATGGTTACTTGATGTGCCTGGTTTATGGTCGTGGACCCTTATTTATAGCCAGATCTTCATGGATGATGTATTAAGAGGATTTAAAAGTCAGATTTAAAAGTAAAAGTCACATGAGGAGCAGCATCACTCTGCACAAGTCGGACTTAGCCCCTTCTCCATCCCTCTCTTGCAGGATGGGACCGCCACCCATTTAACAGTTATTAATATGCCAGCAACCATGACTAAGTAAGTTCAGCTGCTTCATTTACATGCAATTATTTTCTAGCTGATGCAGCTACTTATTTCTACTTATTTCTACTTATTTCTACTTATTTCTACTTATTTCTGCTGTCAGACGGGGGGCTCTGCTGCTCCATGTGGATTTTGGTCAGACTTTAGCTGTGCTCCGTTTCCCTCCCCTCCAGCCTCACCGTAGGCTACGTCTTTTTTCCGGATGGGAGGAAGGCTGGGATCGAGTGGTCCAATGCCTCGCTGGCCCAGCTGGCCGCTGATGGGGTTATTGGGGATCAATATGCAGTGAGTTTTACTGCAGGTAAGTYGGAACTCACCTTCAGCTTAACTTTAGTCTTGTGCATCTACCATCAGGGAAGCTATTTGTGCAAATAAATACAAGGGCACGAATTGTTCCCTGCAGGATCTGGCCATGGGCAGATCCTTAGGGATCTGACGCCTTAGGGTGTTCATTTGTGGTGATTTTTTTTATGTTAATCCAGATAAATGACAYGATTTTCTCTTTTGGAGGGGGCAAATTGTATGTTAAGAGTTGGAGCTGGCTTTGAAGACACTGATTTCTCAAAGAAGTTGCTATTCAATTTACAAAGCAGCTAGGAAAACCGTTTTTCTTTAGAAGTGCCCCATATAAATATAATAGATCTTATGTGTTTGGAGTTTAAATACTGCTGAAAGTCGGACACATTCTGTCCTTTTTTCTCTTGCTGAAGGTGGCAAGGGCTTCGACATCGGTGCCACGCTGCACAGCCGGGCCTGCCCCGTGGTGTATGATGGGCTCAGTGGGAGCCACGTGTTCCACGAGTGCATCGCGGATTTCCGTCTGGACGGGATAACGCCGGGCTGGGGCCTGATGGAGTTTTATTACAGGTAAAATAATAAAAAAAAAGAAAAAAGAGGGTAAGTTCCATACAGATATCAGAAATATAAACACACAGGTTGTTTGCTTTGTTTTAAAGAAATATTATTCAGCCCTGGTAGCCTGGAAATCTCTACATCCTCCCCAGAAAACCGTAATTTGGCAAAACCAACAAAATTCCCATAGGCTCCTCTGTGCGACGTCCGTCCTCAACACAACCACGATGGGAATGGGGGTGGGCGCCYGGTGTCCCCCCTTGCTGCTGGATGCTAACTTCTTGTCCGTGTGTCCTTGCAGGGATGAAGCCGCCCGGCCGGTTCCTGGCTTGCGCCTGGGTGCAGGAGCGGGATGAGCTGCTGCATCCGTGAGGAGCTGCCTGGTTTGCCGGGCACCGGGATGGATGTTCGGGATTCGGGATAGATGTTTGGGAAAAGCCCTCTTCTCGCAGCACCGTGTTTGACAAGTCCTGTTACCTGCTGTGACCTTTCCTGATGGCTTTGCGAATTCAGGCTTATAGTCAAGCTTATTGCAGTGGTGTTAGCAGGAAGCAGCTTTCCCACTATTTTATTCAAAATGAGCAATTTGGGGCACGGAGCTCCTTTTCACAGGAGGCCAAGAGGATGAACAGATTTGGAAGGAAATTGGATAATTCTTTTTTAGATATGCAGCACTTAATAGCTGCTAACTGTGCTCGTCTGGAGGCAATTTGRAGGCAGTCTCTGAACAGCTGAATGCAAGAGGAATGCATGGGAAGGAGCCGATCTCCGCTCCATCTTCTTCTGTTGCTTTTCCTAAGGTATCAAGTGCTCCCCACAGAGAAACCTGGGAAGCTACATGGATTTCTGACCCAATTTGGCAGTTACTTGGTTCTTTAAGGTTTGCTTGGGGAGTGAAAGTCCCATCTATAGAGTTCTCCAGCAGTTACAGGCATTAAAAATGAGCATAATCTCTTATAGCTTCATGGGAGATTCCTCGAGAAGTGACTCTCTCTGAGAATCCAGCAAAGTGGCATTTGCTGTGGAGAASCCAGGGTCTGCTAGTCCAAGGTAGAAGATGATCTGAATGTCTCCTATTCACTTAAAAGTGAATGCTTGTGGCTGGTCCAAGGTGGCTTCAGTCAATGCTGCTTTGGAGAAGAAAGACCAATGATATAGGAAGGGCTTGCAACATATACAGTGATGTTATATGCGATAGCGATGCAGCAGTCTGTGCTGGACCCGTGCATGGGGACACGGGCAGTTTTGCTCCTTTGTATTTCTGGGTGCTTTGATTTCCTTCACTTGAGTCGTCTGTCACTGAGCAGGATGCTCCCAAGCTGTCACAGCTGCCAGTTGTGCCATGCCAGCAAAATAAAGGACCCTTTTCTGCTTACCAACCTGGTGCCTGTTGTCATTTTCATGACTTGCAACAGCTTTTCCCCCAGGATGGATGCACGTGAGCTGGTGGAAGGGTGTCACGGGGAAAGCCACAAGCCCGAGGCATTAAATAAAACCTCCCTGTGCTGGCTGCACTGCTGCTTGAGGGGCGGTCTGAGCCCGTCATCGCCCAGGGGAAGGTGTTGGAGCTCAGCCTGACTTCTGCTATGAGCCTTTCTCTGCCTATGGTGGTATTCCGAAACGCATTCCTGGGAGGCTTGCCCACATTTAAAGATGCCTTAAATCTGTCTGTGCACCTCGAGTCCCAATGCACCCGAATGGACAGCTTTAAAGTTATTCTGGGCAGTGGTATTTCAACAGATATGAAGGCCTTATGGTTCTTTTTACACGTAAGAAATCAGTCAAGTCGGTAATTTTAGAAAGGTTACAAAAATAACAGTGTCRTACATCACGGTTTATTCCTACTAAATATGTGGCTCGTTTTACTATGATTTCAGAAATATATGTGGCATTTTTATCATATCTCTAGGTCTTTTTTTTTTTTTTTTTTTTTTTTCTCAGTGGCTAAAACACTAACATTTGGAAGAAGTAAATATAGGGACACAATCAAGCGTATCCGTAAAGACAAAATATGTTAGCAGTGGCTCTGGGAGTTTGCGCTTGGGTCAGGGAATGTAGAAAATGGAAGGAAAAAATAGTTTATGGTACCAAATAGTCCTTTTGGTACCAGTGGAGGGAGAATGAGAGCACTCCTGAGTTTGGTTGGGAAAAGTTCACCTAGGGTACAGAAAATGATTAATAAAGTTTTGAGCTGGCAGGTTTATTTGCCAGGTAATGAACTACAGGGAAGGCATTTTGGTTTGAAGGATGGAGAAAGTGGCTGTCAAGAGTTTTCTCTGTGGATTCCCAATTAGTTTATGGTGAGTTTATGTCCAGGACACCTGGAAGAACTTATTTAATTTAAAATAATTCTAGCAAGCCCCACGCTTTGAGCATGTGAAGTGGTCCTTCTCTCGCGGCTCCTTCCTCGGTGGAAAAAAATCTGTCCTGGGAGATGTTCCTGCAGCACAAAAGCATTAATTTTGAGCAAGAAAGAGCAATAAATGGAGGAAAAGCCCTGGCCAGAAGTGAAATGTAGCGTAGGATGTGCTCTCGTCCAGCACGGAGGCGGATGGAGGCCGGGGATGAGCTGCTCCCCAGCATCTGGATTTTGCACATCTGGGAGGAACTGAGCACCTGTAATTCCTGCTGCTGTCAATGGGCCAGGGCCTGACATGGCGAAATACTGTGCAAAAYGCTCACCCGTCCCCCTGGAGCTCACATAAATGCTAAATGTTGAGATCCAGGCCCTCGTGAAGAGGTCACTGCAAGGCTGTCAGCCCCAAACTGAGCATTTCCCATTAATCTGCTCATGACTACTGATATCCAAGTGATAAATACGTTACCAAGCTTATTTCTTCTCCTCCCTTTTTGCAATCTTTCCAATATGCACAAAGTTGATATAAAGGGCTTTCACACTGCCACTATTGCATTGGCAAGAGAGCAAGAAGGAAAGAGAGGAAAAAGTCGTTTTTGTCTTTGGATTTATGTCCTGGCTTTACAGTCAGTCGAGCAAAGTGACTGATTAACTAAAGCCCAGGGAGTTCCATAATTTATTCAAAAAAACCCACATTGAATGGCTGAATTTTCTCTGAAAAGTGACCAGTTGCTTCCAAAGCAGACTTTCCTCCCCATRAAACCAGCTCGCTGGCCAAATGAATCCAAGGCATTCCCAGCAAACTGATAACCACGTGCTCCTTGCTCCTCTTTATGGGAAGCCTGGCTTCCTCATACTCCCTCTTGTTTGCCATAAAAAGCCACATTTGTCTTTCTCAGTCCAAAATTGCTCTTCCCTAAATTGYGATTTTTTAAAAATTGCTGCTTCTTCCCTAACATACACAGGCCACGAGCTCTGGAGTTTGAGCTAGTGCCCGTGAGCAGATCTATTCTGGGGGCTTTTTGAGTTTCCCCCCTCCTGGAGGTTTTTCCTTCCCTGGTTGAGGTTATAATTAGTCACAGCATTACTTTTTAGGTTTTTTTTTTTTCCAGCACAAAAGTCTTATTAAAAACAAAGTGCAAGTGAAGTTCATWCTAATCTGCCCATAAAGTTTTACGAGGGATGTAAATCAAGGGCAGGAGTGGCAGCGAGGGCTCCGCACACTCGTGGCTTGTTCAAGCTTCCTCCGTAGAGTTAAATCCCTCTAGGAGCAATTAGCCTAACAAACTGTTGGGTCCACTTTTAAACAACGTCACTGATGGAGACGTACAAAAACAGAGGTGTCTGCTTGGCATACAAGGCACTTTTAAAATGTTGAGCAGTGGTATTTTTCTAATCCACAGGAGTGGGGAGGAGGAGATGAAAACCTGATATATCTCAGCAGCTTTTCTTAAAC